CAAATTTTTTCGCATCTGACATCACAATCTAACATAGCCGCGGCGAGTACGCAGGAGCCTTAACAAAACACTTTTTATTATAATAAATATATTTCACGGTAAATAAATCGAATTTCAAATTTTTATTATTTTCGACATATAAATTCCATTCGAATAATTCTGACCAATTCTTTAATTCATATAACAATTTTATATATAACAAAAATATCAAATTATTAATTATAAGAATATTGAATATATAAGAATATTGAATTATAATAAGAATATATAATAACTAACAAGTTTATATTACTCGTATTTTTTGAGTATGGCTAAGTAATCTTGATTCGAATATTTAAAATACTTAAGGGCAAACACATATGCTAACTGACGAATTTTTATGATTTTATTTATGCAACACAATTCTATCATTGTAATATCTACTTATACGTATACATAAAAATAGATGAATAATTAAAAAAGATGAAATATAGTATTATCATTGTATTGCTTTCTTTTACCTTTTTGATGTGTTATTGGAAGAGCTTTGATCAATATTCGGAGTTGGCTGATCATAGCTGTTTATTGCTGATGTACCTACATTTTCTATGTCATTATCAGAACTTTTAAACTCTGAAATATCTGATAACCTGCGCACAAAAATAAAAACTTCTGAATTAATCTATATTATGAAATTTGAAAGTATATGCAATTATATTAAAATGTCCAAACACAAACATTTTTAACAGATTATATAATTCCTATTTATTCACAATCTATATACTTATCTAAATTGTTATAAATTACAGGAGTATTAAATATAGTAAATAACAAATTTATATATATATAATTCTACTCTTTGTAATATCTATTGTACTTATACATGTACATAAATAAAGTAAATAGACGAATAAATGAAACAAGAAATATAGTAAGTCTGATTTTATTGGTTTTTTTTACTTGGTGATGTGATTTTGAAAGAACTTTGGTTAATATTCTGACGGGACTGCTGATTGCTGCCTCCTGGTTTAGCAATATCCTTGGCATCATTAAAAATTTTAAAAATTTGTAAATTATCTAATAATCTGTACGGAAAAAAATAAAATTGATAATTTACAAATAATTATTATATATCTATAAATTTATTATTGTTATAATATATAATTATTAAGCACAAATCATTAATAAGAAAGAACTTATTATCGCAACATCTCATAATAAAAGATCGACATATGCAAATACTGTTCGAACAAATAAATTCTTTCACTATTATTTAAACATATTTATTCACCACCATCGTTATTTATTAGATAAAATATTAAATATACTAACTTTTTTACTGTATTTTAATATAATATAAATTGATATGTGCTATATATTAAATTGCTCGATATTAAATAATATATTTATGATAAATACATGTATATCAAATTTCTGTTTTTAATTCATTTTTATATACTCTATACATCATTTTTATTGTAATATATATTTATAATTGCGTTCACAAAAATATATGTAAATAAACGTTAAGATAACGATATACCAATTTATCAGTGTTTTCTCTTTCTGTATTATAATATATATATATATATATATATATTAATATAACATTAATTTTTAATATATTTAATAAACACACAAATGAAATATTTTAGTTTTTATAATTTTACTTACATGCAATTCTACTTATTATAGATAAAATTTATTTAGAGTTATTAAATTATAATATTTCTAAACGCGTTTTATAAAAGATAATATAATATTAAAAAATAAAATATATTTTTCTTACTTTTTTGATATTAGATGTAAGAGAAATTTGATTGATTGGATGTTCTGTAATAAAATGTTTCATTAAACTAAAATAATTGTCATTAGAAATGTTCTTGCAAGCATTGCATTCTAATGTTTGAAAATAAATTACATTTTGATACAATTTTAGCCAGTTGACAAAATTATTTATTTGAGCGTAATCAAGTTTATGTTCATTCGAAAAATGATTTTCCAGTTCCTTGTTCTGATCAATACAACGAATAGAACTAATATGTGAACATTTATTGCATTTTGCTTGATTGTTTTCTATAGAAAAAAAGTTCTTTTCTTGTAAAACTTGTAATGAAATCCGTTTTCCATAATCTGTTTTATGTTTATTATATATGTGGAGATTTATAGTTGCGTAATCTACGGTAACAGATAAACGTTTATCACAAATATTGCAATTTGCATGTTCTTCATTTTTTGTTAATAAATATTTTGTGACAAATTTCCACATCCATTCGTTGTTATTTGCAATACACTTCCATAATCTGTATAATAAAGAGTAAAAAATAAAAAAATTTTTTAAATGCTGAATTAATCAATATTATAAAGTTTTGTTTAAATCCTGTGTATAAATTGTACAGTAAATATAATTATGAAACACAATCATTAATAAAACACTTTTAGTATTCGATCGTCTCTCAAAATTCGAATTTGATATTTTCATAAATTAACAATATAAAAATGCTATTCGAGTACAAAAGTTCTTTTTTTCTTATAATTCACTTTTTATATTTATTCATAATTTCACTTATATTCAAATTGTCACATATCACTAATTATTAGAGTTTTGAAATACAGTACTCGACAGTATAGTGTTAGACTTGAATCTTTATATCACTTATGATAAATATATGTCAAATATTTATATTTTATGATTTTATTATCTACACACAATTCTACGTATTGTACATAAATTAATTTTTATTTATTTATTTATTAATAATTTAATAAACGAAAAGTAATAACATTAAATTCTTACTTTGTTGGTCTGATCTCTTCAGGTATTTTAATCTCATCATGCACTTGTTCCAAATGAATCATTAAAAATACTGGTTTATTGGGAATGTCATTATTGCAATGATTGCAGCAGCATGATTTTGCATCCACAATATTTTTGCCAAAATGTTTTTGTAGCCAATTGCAGATTTCTTTTGCTTTATTTATTCCATCTATATGAGTATCCGTTATGTGCTTTTGTATATAACGCAACGTTTTGTTTTCTCCAAAATAAATTTGTTCACAAAAATTACAGTAAACGTCATTATTTTTTATTGCATAAACTTGCGTCGATTCATATGATCTAAAGCTGAATACTGATGATGAGCTAATACTCCGATAAATCTTTTTATGTTTACTTGTTATGTGAGATTTTATTTGGTTTAACTGTTTGTCAATAAGATTACGTTTCCAGGAACAAATATCGCACATTGCCATATTATTTTCTATTGTGCAAAAATTCAGAAACCAATTACTATCTTCTAAGCTTGACGTGTCCATGATATATCTACTTTGTATTATCTGTCGTGCACTACTAACAATAAATACAAAAAGAAAATATTTTAACTAAGCATATAGAAGATATCAGACAGAAAAAAAATGAGAAGTCGTGAAAGACTCGTATATACATATAATTTATTGTATAAATGTAAATATCAGAAAGATATTTGTATTTTAACGTGTGTTTTAAAAGTTACAGTTTTGTAATCCAATGCCGATAATTCTATAGATTAGAAAAATGAATATAAAAATTATACAATCACGAATTAATTTACAATAAAATGCGAATGTTTTCAATTTTTAATTTTAAATAAGTTAGCAAAGATTAGTCCTGTCAAAATGACTAAAGTAAATTTTTAAGATTTTATTATCAAAGAATAATATAACTTTGCTTTGCGCGCATAATTGTATTCGGTTAGATTAAACAAAATGATATATATATATATATATATATATATATATATATATATATATATATATATATATATATATATTTATTTAATATAAATATTAATTAATAATAAAACACTTTTATTAAAACATCTCTCACCTTATTATTATTAAAATATCTCTAACAGAAAATTTGAGTTCAATATCCTTATAAATTTGATATATATATATATATATATATATATATATTTTTTTTTTTTTTTTTTTTCAATTACATACATTCCTGTAGATTTATTAAATTTATATGATTCACAATTTACATTTATTTAATAAATTGTCAAAACTTATTCATTATAAGAAAATTGAACATATGATTAATAAATTTTTATTATTGTATTTTGATATAACAATAGCTAACATAAATTACGTTTTGTCCCAAATATTTAAATTATTTACGATAAAAATATGATAAGCCTACATACTAAATAAATTTTACGACTCAATTCAATTATATTCAATTCTACGTATTTTAATAATTACTTTTATGTATATAAAAATGTAGATAAATGATTTAAATGAAATTATAAAGTAATACAGATTTTATCGTAATTTCCTTTTACCTCGTTAGTGAAATTTTGGATAAATTTTGATCAACATTCTGAACTGGCTGCTGACAGCTTGATGTAGCATTATCTTCAGCATCATCATCAGCATTTGAAATATCTAAATCTTTATCATTTATTAATCTACACGGAATAAAAAATAAAATTTACTAAATTAATCAATATAATAATGTTTTGTTTAATTAATGTGTATGTACAATGTATAATTATTAAATATGAATTGTGGTAATTATGGCTTTTTTTTATACTCGCAACTATGTTAGATTGTAACGTCAGAGGCAAAACATATACTTCAAAATATTTGCGTGCCATTTATAGACAGAAAGATATTTTGATAAGGCACAACATTAGATGGTATTATCTTTTTTAAAATGCTTCGCAAACTATTTTTTCCTTTGGCGCAGTCAATCTTTAACCGTAAATAAAAATTGAAACATAAGACTTTGTCCTGCGAAATAGCTGTGCATGCGTGCAAGAATTAATACGAGTACAGATTAAACCTCAAATTTCATATTATATTATTGCCACATTTTACAACTGCAAATTAATTATAAAAAAAGGACAGTGTTCAAAATATTTTAAAAGTATACTAAAGCTATCTGAAATTTTCTGTTTCATTAGAATAACTTTTTATTTACAAATAGCATTCAAATTTTCTCGCATCTGACATCACAATCTAACATAGCCGCGGCGAGTACGCAGGAGCCTTAACAAAACACTTTTATTATTAATAAATATATTTCACGGTAAAATCGAATTTCAAATTTTTATTATATTCGACATATAAATTCCATTCGAATAATTTCTGACCAATTCTTTAATTCATATAACAATTTTATATATAACAAAAATATCATAATTTATTAATTATATGAATATTGAATATAATAAGAATATTGAATATAATAAGAATATATAATAACTAACAAGTTTATATTACTCGTATTTTTTGAATATGGCTAAGTAATCTTGATTCGAATATTTAAAATACTTAAGGGCAAACACATATGCTAACTGACTAAATTTTATGATTTTATTTATGAAACACAATTCTATTCATTGTAATATCTACTTATACTTATACATAAAAATATAGATGAATAATTAAAAAGATGAAACATAGTAATTATCATTGTATTGCTTTCTTTTACCTTTTTGATGTGTTATTGGAAGAGCTTTGATCAATATTCGGAATTGGCTGATCATAGCTGCTTATTGCTGATGTACCTACATTTTCTATGTCATTATCAGAACTTTTAAACTCTGAAATATCTGATAACCTGCGCACAAAAATAAAAACTTCTGAATTAATCTATATAATAAAATTTAGTAGTATATGCAATTATATTAAAATGTTCAAACACAAACATTTCTAACAGATTATATAATTCTTATTTATTCACAATCTATATACTTATCTAAATTGTTATAAATTACAGGAGTATTAAATATAGTAAATAACAAATTTATATATATACAATTCTACTCTTTGTAATATCTATTGTACTTATACATGTACATAAATAAAGTAAATAGACGAATAAATGAAACAAGAAATATAGTAAGTCTGATTTTATTGTTTTTTTTTACCTTGGTGATGTAATTTTGAAAGAACTTTGGTTAATATTCTGACGTGGCTGCTGATTGCTGCCTCCTGGTTTAGCAATATCCTTAGCATCATTAAATATTTTTAAAATTTGTAAATTATCTAATAATCTGTACGGAAAAAAATAAAATTGATGATTTACAAATAATTATTATATATCTATAAATTTATTATTGTTATAATATATAATTATTAAGCACAAATCATTATTAATAAGAAAAAACTTATTATCGCAACATCTCATAATAAAAGATCGACCTATGCAAATACTGTTCGAACAAATAAAATCTTTCACTATTATTTAAACATATTTATCACCACCATCGTTATTTATTAGATAAAAATATTAAATATACTAAACTTTTTACTGTATTTTAATATAATATAAATTGATATGTGCTATATATTAAATTGCCTCGATATTAAATAATATTATTTATGATAAATACATGTATATCAAATTTCTGTTTTTTAATTCATTTTATATACTCTATACATCATTTTTATTGTAATATATATTTATAATTGCGTTCACAAAAATATATGTAAATAAACGTTAAGATAACGATATACCAAATTTATCAGTGTTTTCTCTTTCTATATATATATATATATATATTATATAACATTAATTTTTAATATATTTAATAAACACACAAATGAAATATTTTAGTTTTTATAATTTTACTTACATGCAATTCTACTTATTATAGATAAATTTTATTTAGAGTTATTAAATTATAATATTTCTAAACGCGTTTTATAAAAGATAATATAATGTTAAAAAATAAAATATATTTTTCTTACTTTTTTGATATTAGATGTAAGAGAAATTTGATTGGATGTTCTTTAATAAAATGTTTCATTAAACTAAAATAATTGTCATTAGAAATGTTCTTGCAAGCATTGCATTCTAATGTTTGAAAATAAATTACATTTTGATACAATTTTAGCCAGTTGACAAAATTATTTATTTGAGCGTAATCAAGTTTATGTTCATTCGAAAAATGATTTTCCAGATCCTTGTTCTGATCAATACAACGAATAGAACTAATATGTGAACATTTATTGCATTTTGCTTGATCGTTTTCTATAGAAAAAAAGTTCTTTTCTTTTAAAACTTGTAATGAAATTTGTTTTCTATAATCTGTTTTATGTTTACGATATATGTGGAGATTTATAGTTGCGTAATCTACGGTAATAGATAAACGTTTATCACAAATATTGCAATTTACATGTTCCTCATTTTTTGTTAATAAATATTTTGTGACAAATTTCCACATCCATTCGTTGTTATTTGCAATACACTTCCATAATCTGTATAATAAAAAGTAAAAAATAAAAAAATTTTTTAAATGCTGAATTAATCAATATTATAAAGTTTTGTTTAAATCATGTGTATAAATTGTACAGTAAATATAATTATGAAACACAATCATTAATAAAACACTTTTAGTATTCGATCGTCTCTCAAAATTCGAATTTGATATTTCCATAAATTAACAATATAAAAATGCTATTCGAGTACAAAAGTTCTTTTTTTCTTATAATTCACTTTTTATATTTATTCAAAATTTCACTTATATTCAAATTGTCACATAGTACTCCACTGTATAGTACTAGACTAGAATAATTATATTACTCGAGATAAATATATGTTAAATATCTATATTTTATTATTTTGTTAGTTATACACAATTCTACGTATTGTACATAAATTAATTTTTATTTATTTATTTATTAATAAGTGAATAGACGAAAAGTAATAATATTAAATTCTTACTCTGTTGGTCTGATCTCCTCAGGTATTTTAATCTCATCATGCACTTGTTCCAAATGAATCATTAAAAATACTGGTTTATTGGGAATGTCATTATTGCAATGATTGCAGCAGCACGATTTTGCATCCATATTATTTTCGCCAAAATGTTGTTGCAGCCATTTGTAGATTTCTTTTGCTTTATTTATTTCAACTGTATGAGTTTTCGTTATATGTTTTTGTATATAACGGAACTTTATGTTTTCTCCAAAAAAAATTTGATTACAAAAATTGCAGTAGACGTCATAATTTTTTATTGCATAAACTTGCGTCGATTCATATGATCTAAAGTTGATTATTGATGATTTGATAATAGTCCAATAAGATTTTTTATGTTTGTGTATAAAGTGAGTTTTTATTTGGTCTAATTGTTCGTCAATAAGATTATGATTCCAGGAACAAATATCGCATTTTGCCTTATTATTTTCTATCGTGCAATAATCTAAAACCCAAGTATTACTTACTGAGCTTGACGTTGCCATGATATCTGCTTTGTATCAGACCACTACTGACAATAAGTACGAAATAAAAATATTTTAACGAAGAATATAGAAGCTATCAAGCAGAAAAAGGAAAGGTCGTGAAAAAACGCGTATATAATTTATTGTATAAATGTAAATATTTATATTCAGAAACAAATTTGTGTTTTAATAGTTACGGATTTTGTAATCCACTACCGATAATCTTATACATTAGAAAAATAAGTTACAAAAATTATTTAATCGCAAATATTATTTCAATAAATGTGAATTTTTCCATTTTCTACTTTTTTAGTTAACAATAAAAATTAGTTCTGCCAAAATGATTAAAGTCAATTATCCAATTAATAAAAAATAAAAGACAAAATGCCGAATCTATCAAAAAATTATCTTTAATTTTTATGTATGCTGGAATAATTTAAAAAATGTAATATATTAAAAAAAAGAAGATATTTTATTGTGTATATATTTATATATTATTATATTTGCTTATTATATACAGGGGCTAAACAAAATAATGTGAACACCTGTAAAAAAATATTTATATTTGTTTATTAATAAGATGTTAGGCCATGCCTTTTTCCAGTGGAATGTTGTCTCATTCTTCTATCTGCCAATTGCTTTAAAGATGCTAAAGGAGGAAATCTGTTTCTCACTCTTTTTTAAAATTGCCTACAGCTCGATGATATTAAGCTATTAAGATGTTTAAATATTTTCCCTGTGCAGTTCAATAAAATAATATTTTTAATGCATGCATGTATGTAACTACTTTTCCGAAAAATCAAACATTCATTACTCAATAATTGTTTGAGCTACAGCGCTTATTTAGGATATAAGTAAAGTAGTACAATTTTTATTTATCGTCACTTTTATAAAAATTCGTATAGTGTTTTAGATTTTAATATGTACCTTCAATTTTTCAAAGAATATCTGTAATTGCTCTAACTTCCGTAAATTTTGAAATATTAAACTAAATTCTTTTACATAAATAGCGTAGATACTATTAAAAGATGACTGATATTGAATTTAAATAAGGATCGGTGAAAGGATTTATTTTTTACAAAATTTTGAATTCTAATTTTTTTAATGTAAATTCTCGAATATAAAATCTATTTTATGTGAAATATTGTAATGGATGTAAAAAAGCTTTATGAGCTAAAATTGAAAATCCAGCTTGTTCATGTTGCAAGTTTCGTCTCTTTGCGTTTTCGTTTCGCGATCACTTGTTCTTGAATTCGAGATGAAACTCGTTGACAAACCCGATAAATGGTACATATATATATATATATATATATTTATATATATATATATATATACAGGGTGTCCCAGACTTATGGTTAATTATAGATTAATTTTCGAGATACCAATAATTTTTCAGTTATTTTTCATCTATTTTTCGATTTCATATATTTTTCAGTAATAAGCGATTGAAAATGAAAGATTTTTCGCAAACTAATAAGCCTTGTGGAAATAAATTATCAACACCATACCATCTTTCAGATAATTTTAAATGTAATTTAATTTACTAAAATTTTAATTTAAAACTTAATCACAAAAATATATGGTAACAAAAATTAGGAGCCTGCAAAAAAGATCACCTTCCTTTTTGAGGAGAAAAAATCGTCTTTAAATAATCTTAAGAATCTCATTAATGAGTAATCTTGTAAAATTGGGACATCTTGTATGTGACAGAAAATATGTGTAAATAATTCTTATCTTCAATTTTGGGTTAATAATTCGTCAAATTTACTGATACTATTTACAGACTCTATATTTTATAGAGAAGGAGATAGAGGGATGAATAATTCAAACAAATAGTCAAAACTATGTTAAATAAAAATTATATACAGAAAGAATATTTTTCGTTAAATTTTAAATTTTACTATAAATTTTACACATTTTTAGTAACCTTATTATATGATGGTATGAAGAATATATATATTATTCTTCTTAATCTTGCGTTAATAATTCTTCAAAGTTTTTAAACATATTTTATGGATTATATACTCGAAAGAGAAAAATAATTCAAGTAAATAGTCAAAATTATATATTATACAGTACCCTTCACAAGTTTGGATACACTTTACATTTTACAGTTGAACAATCGCATGGCAGCAATCTGTCATAAATAAAAATGTTAATCAAATATTTTACGATTTATTAGTACAAAAAATCTACACAGATCGTTACCATACGATTGTTTAACTGTAAAATATAAGGTGTTTTTAAATTTATAAAGGGTACTGTATATTGAATAAAAATTATATACACGGAGACATTTTTTCATGATATTTTAATATTAGAGGTTTTTGCGTTTCTAATTTGTTGATGATCGATACATATACTATATGTTACAAATAATATAAAATTATTGCAATATGTTTTAAATAAAAAATATATGTATAGCATTATTAAGCATATACGATAATATATAAATATATACATACAATAATACATCTTTTTAATTTATCATATATAGTATATATCTTATTAGTTATGCCAACATATATAAAAATTTATTATAATTTTTGATAGATTTTGCATTTTGTCTTTTATTTTTGATCAATTTGATCATATACTTTATTTGTATAGACAGCAATAATTTTTGTTAACGTAAAAAGTAGAAATTGGAAACATTCGCATTTATTGTAATATTTGTAATTATATAATTCTTTAACTTATTTTCATAATTTCTTCTAGATTATCAGCATTGCATTACAAAAACAGTGACTATTAAAACACGCTGAAGAACAAATTTGTCTCCGTATATATAAATATTTACATTTTTACAATAAATTATATACTCGTTTTTTTACGACCTTTCATTTTTTTCTGTCTGATATCAAGCTATATTCTTCGTTAAAATATTTATGAAATAGAAAGTGCTTTCACCTGCGATGTATATAAATTTTCATGACTATTCATAGAATTTTTATTATATTTTAAGAAATTAATTCTTTTATATATACCGATTGATTATGTCAATGGGGAAACAATTGTTTCGTAAAATCTATTTAATTGTCCGTATATTTTTTCTTTGAAACCGTTTATTGGTGGACCATGCAATATTATTATCTAATTCACATCTATCTAAATTGTCACAACTTATTTATTGTATTATAAGAATATTGAACATAGTAGAATTAACAGATTTTGATTACTGTATTTTAATATAATATTGGCCAACAAAAATTATGTTTTGTCCCGAATATTTAAATTGGTTACGATAAACATATAATAAGCTTACATATTATATAAATTTTATCATTTTATGATCTACGCAGAATAAAATAATAAATTTTACTGAATAAATCAATATAAAAATGTCTAGTTTGAATAATGTGTGTGTATAATGTATAATTATTAAAAATAAATTGTTGTTATTATGATTCCTTTTTGACCACTGATCACGTGTCCATCGGGCCCGCGCGCGCGAATCAGTCTCGCAAAATTATTTCTGTCAATACAATTAAAGTATATGATCAAATAAATAAATAATAAAAGACAAAATGCGATATCTATCAAAAAGTCCTGAAAAACGCATTTCTCAAACCCTCTACATGGTTTCGATATGTTGATGACATCGTTGTCATCTGGAGTCATGGCAGAGAAACACTCTCTCAATTTTTCGATTTTCTAAATTCTCAGCACCGCAGTATTCAGTTTACAATGGAAATAAAACAAAATAATCTGCTCCTCATTTTAGACGTGTTAGTTAAAAAGAACGAAGACGGCACCTTAGGCCGTCGGGTTTATCGAAAACCAACACATACGGATCGTTACCTCCATGCCACCTCTCATCATCATCCGGCTTAGAAGAATTCTGTCATCAGTTCATTAATATACAGAGCCTTAACAATTTCTAAAGCAACTTTTCTGAATGAAGAATTAAAACATCTCAACCAAGTCTTGATCAAGAATGGGTACAACACCAAAGACATCCATCGAACAACTGAAAGGCTGAAAAATAAAATCTCCAGTTTTACAAATATGAGAGCATCAAGTGAAAAAGAAGAAGAAGAAAAAGAAGATAAAAAATAGACGATCTTTCCGTATCTTCAGGGTACAACAGAACGCATTAACAAGATCCTGGGTAAACACAATATCAAAGTAATTTCCAAACCTCAAAATAAGATTGCGCAACTACTTCCTAATCCCAAGGACCGGAGTTCACACTTAGAAACACCAGGTGTATACAAGATTCCTTGCTCCTGCGGAAAAGTGTACATAGAAGAAACTGGGAGAAAGATCAGTACACGAATTAAGGAACACCAACGGAGTGCCAGGTACTGCCATTTTAGTCAATCAGCCTTGGCAGAACACTGGATGGAGACGGGACACTCGGTGCAATATAACAAAGCAACCAGACTAGCCAGCTTTTTCGCCAACATCGTGAAGAAATTCTAAAACATCCCGACAACCTCAACCGCGACAAAGGTGATCAAACAAACCCTATTTGGCACACTGCCCTTAATATACACTCACATCACTAGGCAGCGTCATTACGGAATACTTTTCCGTAGATGAAAAACCTCCCATAATAGATATAAAGACCACAACCCAAGAAAGCTCAATATTGGAACTCTCAGCCCTGAAGATGCAAACGTTTGCGAAACGTCGGCATTACGCTGTTAAACCACGCGGCATCCATCCGGAAACCTTTTGCATTGATATTGTCGTATTTCTTATTTAAAATATATTGCAATAATTTTATATTATTGGTAACATATAGAATATGTATCGATCATCAACAAGTTAGAAACGCAAAAACCTCTAATATTAAAATGTAATGAAAAATTTTCTCCGTATATATAATTTTTATTCAACATATAATATATAATTTTGATTATTTACTTGAACTATTTTTCTCTCTCAAGTATAAAATTCATAAAATATGTCTGAAAACTTTGAAGAATTATTAACGCAGGATTAAAGAGAAGAATAATATATATAATATTCTTCATACCATCATATAATGAAGTTACTAAAAATATGGAAAATTTATAGTGAAATTCAAAATTTAACGAAAAATATTCTCTCTGTATATAATTTTTATGTAACATAATTTTGATTATTTGTTTGAATTATTCATCCCTCTATCTCTTTCTCTATAAAATATAGAATTTATAAATATATCAGAAACTTTGAAGAATTATTAACCCAGAATTGAAGATAAAAATTATATACACATTTTCTGTCATATACAAGATGTCCCAGTTTTACTGGATCACTCATTAATGAGATTCCTAAGGTTATTTGGAGATGATTTTTTCTCCTCAAAAAGGAAGGTGATCTTTTTTGCAGGCTCTCAATTTTTGTTACCATATCTTTTTATGATTTAGTTTTAAATTAAAATTTTAGTAAATTAAATTAAATTTAAAATTAATTGATAGATGTAACTGTGTTGATAATTTATTTCCACAAGGCTTATTAGTTTGTGAAAAACCTTTCATTTTCAATCGCTTGTAACTAAAAAATTATTGGTATCTCGACATTTAATCCATAATTTACCATAACGAGTAAGTCTGAAACATCCTGTATATATATAATATATATATATATATATATATATATATATGCACCATTTATCGGGTTTGGCAACGAGTTTTATCTCGAATTCAAGAACGAGTGATCGCGAAACGAAAACGCGGTGAGACGAAACTTGCAACATGAACAAGCTGGTTTTTCAATTTTAGCTCATAAAGCTTCCTTACATACATTATAATTTTTTACATAAAATATTTTTTAAAATTCGAGAATTTACATTAAAAAAAATAGAATTCAAAATTTTGTAAAAAATAAATCCTTTCATCGATCTTTATTTAAATTCAATATCAATCTTCTTTTAATAGTACCTACTCTATTTATGCAAAAGAATTTAGTTTAATATTTCAAAATTTACGGAAGTTAGAGCAATTACAGATATTCTTTGAAAAATTGAAGGTACATATTAAAATCTAAAACACTATACGAATTTTTATAAAAGTGACGATAAATAAAAATTGTACTACTTTACTTATATCCTAAATAAGCGCTGTAGCTCAAACAATTATTGAGTAATGAATGTTTGATTTTTCGGAAAAGTAGTTACATACATGCATGCATTAAAAATATTATTTTATTGAACTGCACAGGGAAAATATTTAAACATCTTAATAGCTTAATATCATCGAGCTGTAGGCAATTTTAAAAAAGAGTGAGAAACAGATTTCCTCCTTTAGCATTTTTAAAGCAATTGGCAGATAGAAGAATGAGACAACATTCCACTGGAAAAAGGCATGGCCCAACATCTTATTAATAAATAAATATAAATATTTTTTTACAGGTGTTCACATTATTTTGTTTAGCTCCTGTATATAATAAGTAAATATAATAATATATAAATATATACACAATAAAATATCTTTTTTTTTTTTAATATATTACATTTTTTAAATTATTCCAGCATACATAAAAATTAAAGATAATTTTTTGATAGATTCGGCATTTTGTCTTTTATTTTTTATTAATTGGATAATTTACTTTAATCATTTTGGCAGAACTAATTTTTATTGTTAACTAAAAAAGTAGAAAATGGAAAAATTCACATTTATTGAAATAATATTTGCGATTAAATAATTTTTGTAACTTATTTTTCTAATATATAAGATTATCGGTAGTGGATTACAAAATCCGTAACTATTAAAACACAAATTTGTTTCTGAATATAAATATTTACATTTATACAATAAATTATATACGCGTTTTTTTTACGACCTTTTTTTTCTGCTTCATAGCTTCTATATTCTTTGTTAAAATATTTTTATTTCGTACTTATTGTCAGTAGTGGTCTGATACAAAGCAGATATCATGGCAACGTCAAGCTCAGTAAGTAATACTTGGGTTTTAGATTATTGCACGATAGAAAATAATAAGGCAAAATGCGATATTTGTTCCTGGAATTATAATCTTATTCAAGAACAGTTAGACCAAATATGCACTCACATAATATTTAAACATAAAGAGATTTATCAGAGTATTAGCTCATCATCAGCAATCAGCTTTAGTTCAACAGAATCGACGGAAGTTTATACAATAAAAAATTATGACGTCTACTGCAATTTTTGTAATCAAATTTTTTTTGGAGAAAACAAAACGTTCCGTTATATACAAAATCATATAACGAAAACTCATTCAGTTGAAATAAATAAAGCAAAAGAAATCTACAAATGGCTGCAACAACATTTTGGCGAAAATAATATGGATGCAAAATCGTGTCGTTGCTATTATTGCAATGATGACATTCCAAATAAACCAGCATTTTTAATGTTTCATTTGATACAAGTGCATGCGGCTAAAATACCTGAGGCGATCAGACCAACAGAGTAAGAATTTAATATTATTACTTTTCGTCTATTCACTTATTAATAAATAAATAAATAAAAATTAATTTATGTACAATACGTAGAATTGTGTATAACTAACAAAATAATAAAATATAGATATTTAACATATATTTATCTCGAGTAATATAATTATTCTAGTCTAGTATTATACAGTGAAGTACTATGTGACAATTTGAATATAAGTGAAATTTTGAATAAATATAAAAAGTGAATTATAAGAAAAAGAGAACTTTTGTACTCGAATAGCATTTTTATATTGTTAATTTATGGAAATATCAAATTCGAATTTTGAGAGACGATCGAATACTAAAAGTGTTTTATTAATGATTGTGTTTCATAATTATATTCACTGTACAATTTATACACAGGATTTAAACAAACTTTATATAATATTGATTAATTCAGCATTTTTTATACTTTTTTTATTTTTTACTCTTTATTATACAGATTATGGGGGTATACTGCAGATTGCAAAGAATGGATGTGGAAATTTGTCACAAAATATTTATTAACAAAAAATGAGGAACATGCAAATTGCAATATTTGTGATAAACGTTTATCTATTACCGTAGATTACACAACTATAAATCGCCACATATATAATAAACATAAAACAGATCATGGAAAACGGATTTCATTACAAGTTTTACGAAAAAAGAACTTTTTTTCTATAGAAAACGATCAAGCAAAATGCAATAAATGTTCACATATTTGTTCTATTCGTTATATTGATCAAAACAAGGAACTGGAAAATCATTTATCAAATGAACATAAATTTGATTACGCTCAAATGAATAATTTTCTCAATTGGCTAAAATTTTATCGAAATGTAATTTATTTTCAAACATTAGAATGCAATGCTTGCAAGAACATTTCTAATGACAATTATTTTAGTTTAATGAAACATTTTATTGAAGAACATCCAATCAAATTTCTCTTACATGTAATATCAAAAAAGTAAGAAAAATATACTTTATTTTTTAATATTATATTATCTTTTATAAAACGCGTTTAGAAATATTATAATTTAATAACTCTAAATAAATTTTATCTATAATGAGCAGAATTGTATGTAAGTAAAGTTATAAAAACTAAAATATTTCATTTGTGTGTTTCTTAAATATATTAAAAACTAATGTTATATTAATATATATATAATACAGAAAGAGGAAACACTGATAAATTTGGTATATTATTATCTTAACGTTTATTTACATATATTTTTGTGAACGCAATTATAAATATATATTACAATAAGAATAATGTATAGAGTATATAAAAATGAATTAAAAAACAGAAATTTGTTATACATGTATTTATAATAAATAATATTATTTAATATCGAGGCAATTTAATATATAGCACATATCAATTAATATTATATCAAAATACAGTAAAAAAGTTTGTTATATTTAATATTTATATCTAATAAATAACGATGGTGGTGAATAAGTATGTTTAAATAATAGTGAAAGAATTTATTTGTTTGAACAGTATTCGCATATGTCGATCTTTTATTATGAGATGTTGCGATAATAAGTTATTTTTTATTAATAATGATTTGTGCTTAATAATTATATATTATAACAATAATAAATTTATACATATATAATAATTATTTGTAAATCATCAATTTTATTTTTTTCCGTACAGATTATTAGATAATTTACAAATTTTAAAAATATTTAATGATGCCAAGGATATTGCTAAATCAGGAGGCAGCAATCAGCAGCCAAGTCAGAATATTAACCAAAGTTCTTCCAAAATCACATCACCAAGGTAAAAAAAACCAATAAAATCAGACTTACTATATTTCTTGTTTCATTTATTCGTCTATATACTTTATTTATGTACATGTATAAATATAATAGATATTACAAAAAGTAGAATTGTATATATATAAATTTGTTATTTACTGTATTTAATACTCCTGTAATTTATGACAATTTAGATAAGTATATAGATTGTGAATAAATAGGAATTAATAAATCTGTTAGTCTCCTACGTACTCGCCGCGGCTATGTTAGATTGTGATGTCAGATGCGAGAAAATTTAAATGCTATTTGTAAATAAAAAGTTATTTTGATGAAACAGAGAACTTCAGATTGCTTTACGATAAATATAAATTTGTTACTTATTATATATTCTTATTATATTCAATATTTTTATAATTAATAAATTATCATAGTTTCGTTAAGTATAAAATTGTTATATGAATTAAAGAATTCGTCAGGAATTATTTGAATGGAATTTGTATATGTCGAATATAATGAGAATTTAAATTTGAAGTTTACCGTGAAATATGTTTATTAATAAAGCGTTTTATCTATGCGCCTTGGTACTCGCCGCAGCTATGTTATATCGAATTCGATTGGATGCACTAGTGCGCACTGAGTGCATATAAAGGTTTATCACTCACAAGTTTACAATGACAAGAGTAATTAAAAAAGGAAAATAATTAATAGTATGAGCTATTATAGTTGTTCAATATGAATAATGATAATATAATAGCTCTTACTATTAATATTGTTTTACTTTTTAATTAGTTATGTCATTGTAAAATTGTGTGCGATAACCTTTACGTGCACTCAGTGCGCACTAGTGCATCCAACCGAATTCGCTATTAGATTGTGACGTAAGAGGCGAGAAAATGTACGCTGAAAATGTGTGCATGTTATTTTTAAATAATAAATTTCAACATAAAAAATATTTTGATAAAAGAGAGAACTTCAGATGGCTTTAACACACTTTAACAACATTCCGTAGACTATCCTTTCTTCTTTATTATCAATTAATATTGTAAAATGACTGTCATATGTTTGAGGTTACGTATATAGTCTTGCATGCATGCGCAAATCATTTTGCAGGACAAAGTCTGACGTTTCAATTATTTTACGGTTATTCATTGACTGTTATGGGAAAAAATAATTTTCGGAGTATTTTAGAAGTGCTAGAACCATATCTAAAGTTGTCTTATTATCATAATATCTTTTTATCTAAAAATGACACGCAAATATTTAATTCAAAGTATTTTTTCGTTTCTGACGTCTTAATCTAACATGGGTGCAAAAGAAACCATAATAACAAATATTTATATTTAATAATTATACATTATACATACACATTATTCGAACAAGACATTATAGTATTGATTAATTCAGCAAACTTTATTTTTTATTTTGTGTAGATTATTAAATGATAAAGATTTAGATTCAACTGCTGATAATGATGCTGAAGGTAATGCTACATCAAGCAACTATCAGCAGTCAACTCAGTAATGATTAAAATTCTTCCGACATTTCACCGAAGAGGTAAAAGAAAATTACGATAAATTCAGTATTACTATATATTGTATATGTATATAATTTCTTTTCAACCATTTATCTATATTTTTATATACATAAAAGTAAATTTTACAATAAGTAGAATTGGGTATAATTGAATAAAATCTTAAAATTTAGATAGTTATCATATGTTCATCGTAAATAATTGAAATATTCGAAACAGAACATAATTTTTGTTAGCCAATAATATATCAAAATATGATAATACAAATTTGTTAATTTTACTATGTTCAGTATTCTTGTAAATTAAATAAAATCTTAAAATTTAGATAGTTATAATATGTTCATCATAAATAATTGAAATATTCGAAACAGAACATAATTTTTGTTAGCCAATAATATATCAAAATACGATAATACAAATTTGTTAATTTTACTATGTTCAATATTCTTGTAATTGATAAGTTGTGACATTTTAGATAATTGTAGTTTGTCAATAATTATACATATGAATTAAATAATTTGGTAGGAACGTTTGTGCTTGAAACAATATTTATATATCGAATTTATGAGAATATTGAATTCAAGTTTTCTGTGGGAGATGTTTTAATAAAAGTGTTTTATTAAATGACAGTGTATATTTAAATAATTATACATTGTGCACATTATTCAAACAAGACATGTATAATATTGGTTAATTTAACAAATTTTTTTTTATTCTGTGCAGATTAAGTTGAAATGATAAGTTTTTGAATGAAGACCTAATCACCAACGGTGATGGCCAAATTATTTTCTTTGAGGAGTTTGAAATGTTAATTAAAATTAAGATGCTTGCTATTATGAATATAATAAAATATAAACTTAAAAAAATTGAATGTGTATTACATTTTGTGTATTTTTTATGTAATTAAATGTGTATTAAATTAAATGAAACACTTTTTCACTCTCTTGTCCAAAACTGTCCATAGTGCGATTTGATGATATTTAAATTGAACAAGTATATAAAGAAAAAAATGAATAAATAAGTACAAAAATCAGGAAAACGTGAAAAAAATCCGGGGTTGCGGATATCGATTTCTTAAAATCGTTGAATCGGAACGAAAGAATATTTCGTTGAGCGAAACGGTACGGTAAAACGCCGGCAGTAAACCCGGCAGTATTACATGGTAAAAGATTTGGTAAAACCAGAGTCGAACGTGCGGAAAACCTATAGAATCTTTTTGCCGGAGAGAGCGCCGCTCGTTAAGCTCTCTTGAAAACGAATAAAAATTACGTCCGCGGATCTCTAAATTCCTTCCAGTACCGGCAAAAAGCAAAACCGCGCTCGGGGGAGAAGGCCATCCCTTTTACCCTTTCTCTCTCTCTTTCTCTCGTCCATATTATCACTGTTGAAGTATTATCTGACGTAATTTCTTGACAAACGGCTTCGACGAGGTCAAATGGCGGCGGTAGGATAAAAACATGACGTAGCGATCCTCGATTTCGAAGACGGGGGATGATGCTAGGAGTGTCTGGAATGCGAATAAAATTGTCCAATTATATGAATATATATTTTAGCATCTTCCCCTCTTTCCCTTTTCTCTCGGGTGTCAGTCGGAGGGGCGTTTTCGGGTTGGACGTGGAAGAGGGTGGTTTTCAAAGGGTATGGGTCCGGCGTAGAGACAATAGTAGGCGGACAAAAGCATGATATACGGCGACCTCGGAGAGCAGTGGTATTAAAATCATATTTTTAAGCCCTCTCGCCCTCTCGCTCGCTCTTGCCATCCCCTATCGCGGGAGACTGTCCTCCGAGACCGACCTATTCCGCAGAATCCCGCGCCATGGACCGCGAAATGGAGCGCGGAGGACTTTGAGCGCTGTCTTTTGCGGAGGAGACCACCGCCGGATTTAATTGGATTCGTCGGCTATAATTAATACGCTCGGCCAAGACAGACTGTGTATTGATTCACTTTCAATATCATTTTCGTGGAAAAATTAATCCCTCTGCGCGACCCAAGTATAGCAAACTCCCTGGCGGGCCACTAGATGGCCTATAGACAAAAAGTAGACGTAACCTTAAACTTGTTTTAGGTGCATTCTGGACATCGGAACATGTCCACCAGTTTCAGACTACCTTGTCCAAAAGAAAAAAATTCTAATAATCCCAGCAAACACCGATATATAATTGTTGCATTGTTATAATAAAACGGAATATAACAGGTAATATAACGTGTACGTTACATGTAACATTCATGTTAGTAGTAATTTCCCACTCATAGATGTAACATTTTAATATAACATATATTACATTGTAGTTATATTGTAATTATATACCAAATAGCACATTGATGTATTGATAAGTCAGTGCTATCTTGGGATATAATGACAATATAACTACAATGTAATATATGTAATATTAAAAATGTTACATCTATGAGTGGGAAATTACAACTAACATATACGTTACATGTAACATGCTTGAGTATATAACATTTATATACTGTGTTTACTGAGATTACATAAAATCAGACCCAGCAAACACCGATATATAATTGTTACATTGTTATAATAAAACGGAATATAACAGGTAATATAACGTGTACGATACATGTAACATCCATGTTAGTTGTAATTTCTCACTCATAGATGTAACATTTTAATATAACATATATTACATTGTAGTTATATTGTAATTATATACCAAATAGCACATTGATGTATTGATAAGTCAGTGCTATCTTGGGATATAATGACAATATAACTACAATGTAATATATGTAATATTAAAAATGTTACATCTATGAGTGGGAAATTACAACTAACATATACGTTACATGTAACATTTACATAAAATCAGATAAACTAATGATAAATATTTTCAACAGTGCCAGATTTAATAGCAGCTATTAAAAGGATCATCAATAACATTAAAAATGACATGTTAGATAAAGTTTTTACGAGTTTTCGTAAAAGGACAGAATTTTGAACCAATTCAAATGGTGCGCACTTCGAAAATATTTATCATAGTTTACATATGTGATTATTAGCACTTTTTTCATTACTTTTTTTCAAACAAATAAACTGATATACAAAGCAGACTTTCCTCTGTCCAACACAATTTTTGTTTTCTCAATAACTGCATGCATTAAAAAATGACAGCTGATTAGTTTCAGCAATTTCCTATAGGATACCCTATATGTTATAAAATAAGTGTTGTCAAACACTTTGACATCGACCTTATCTAGGTCTTACATCTAATCTCCGATTTATAAATCACGCATAATGCGACTTCTCAAACTCGCGAAGAAGGGATTATTGCTAATAATATCCAGTTCGCGCTAGTGCATGATGTTTTCATAAATCTGCATTCGTTGCGTCGAGAGCAGTTATGAAAAAAATAATCCTCGATCCTCTCTCTCTCTCTCTCTCTCTCTCCTCTTGGAGCGCTTATGGCCGCGTATATGCAGGGCTGCGTCCCGGGTGCAGCACTTCATTAAAACTTTTAAATTTTCCTTCGCTCTCCTCGCGTTCGCGCGAATGTACCGTAACTCGCAAAAAAAACCAGGGGGTGAAAACGAGAGAAAGAGACAGACAGAAAGAGTTTCGCGCCTCCGCGCATGAATTTGTTGCCCTTTGGTCCCTTGAACGTCGTTACGTCAGTCGCGAACGTGTTACACACCTTTCTCGTGTAAGTTTGAGAGAGAGAGAGAGGAGAAAAGTATTTTCTTTCACGTATAACATACGTAAACTGTGCAACTGTATACCTTGTTACAAACTACTGCACAACGAGCTGTGTACGATAATCTGCGTCGGGTGGATGCAAAAGTGTGAGAGCGGATTGGATTTTTCTGCCACATCTTATCGCTGATTCTGGGGAAACAAGACTTTATATTCTGTCTCGTCTTGTAGATTTATTTCTTTTACGCGTAAAAAGTTTTGGTTTTGCAATATTAATTAATTCTTCTTTTGCATTATATTATATACATATATGTTTATATAATATTATATATATATTATATAATATTATATATTTTATATTATATAATATAATATATTATATATTATATAATATATTATATAATATATAATATAATATTATAATTATTATTTTCGATAATTTTAATTATTTTGATTCTCATTTTATTCTCATTATTTTCATTACCTTCAATTGATTTGATTGTTTCGATTATTATGATAATTTATATTATTTTGTCCATTTTTATCTTAATTTATTTTGATATTATTTTAATTGTTTTAACTATTTTCATCATTTTGATTGCATCAATCGTTTTCATCATTTGTTTACATTTTGATCAACAAATTAAAATTTATGCGATTTACAACATTCTTGTCGTTTTTTCGCTCTCTTTATATAAAAATTGAAAGACTTTATCAGAAAGAAAATGCGTTATTATTAATTACATTATACTTTATGCGAGATTCATGTCATTTCCGTGCGAAACAAAGATGCACGAGTATCTCTTTTCTCTTAAACAAAATATAATAATACAAAATAATAATATAAAAATATTAATAATAAAAATAATATTAATATAAAAGATCTTATTAGAGAAAAAAAAACATTATTAATTACATTTAATTAATTATATAATACTTTATGCGAGTTTATTGTCATCTCGTGCGAAACAAAGTTGCACGAATATCTCTCTCCTCGAAAGATTAATCGCTCCTCTCATTGAGACTAACTGCGAGCGCGGGATCATGTCTTTACATGGCGACCGATCTGTATTTAGGGAGAAAGGGGTCAGTATTATTTCACTTATGTTAATCTCCCGGAGGATCCAAGAGCCGCCGATGTTATTAGGTTCCCGATGGGGTCGGACGTCTAATCGACCCAGGAATAATGTCGCGTTTGCCAGCAACTTTATCCCGACAGAGAGAGAGAGAGAGCCAGAGAGCGAAGGGTCGCTCCGAGGGATATTCTAATTCGCCCCTGGGAGAGAGAGCTCTCCGCTTTGCGGAATCCGGCTTGTGAGGCAGAGGAAGCGTACGTGTCTCCTCTCCTCTTCAGCCTCTCTGTGTTCGTCGCGAGGCTAAACGCGCGAGGATGAACGATAGATCGTCCAGGTGGCGCTGAGGGAGCAAAACGATAATTCGAGTCGCTCGGTGAGCGATTATATGGGGGAACGAGGCTGGATTCCACTTTCTTGATACCGAAATTTCGTCCTAATCTCGATTTACGGCACCCGGCCAAATCATACATCGCGCCCCCCAAAAGCCCCCCAGGCGTTTCTCTACGAACAGCCGACTGTAGTTCCGAATTATTACGATCGGAGGATGATTGCGCTCTCTTCTGTGTCATGAAAATTTTTTAACACCCTTTATAAAGATATACATCCTGACATTTATCGCGATATTCATATAAGCCAGAAAAATTTGTATAATGTAATGATAACATATCGACAAACGATAAGATTAGGTTTAAACGATAAGAATTTTGAGAAAAAATTGCAATTGCAGGGGGTTGGAGCCGCTATCGCCCGAGCAGCGGCGTTTCCGGTGTTTGCGCCAGAAATTGTTGAATTATAAAGTGATACTGATGGATATTCGACAAAGTGTTAATTGTAATTTTAGGTTCATCTTTTATTCCTTTTATTAAATTGAAAATTCTTTTCAGGGATTAAAATACTTACGTTAATAAAGGCATAGGTGATATCTTTGAAAAAAGAAGAAAAAATTAAGAAAGTTTTCCGACAAGCTGTCTGTTCATACAAATATTTATTTTACATTAAAATTATGTAGTTTGTAAGTACAAAATAAATCCAGGGAGGCTGAAAAAGCATGTAAAAGAATTACAGGAAACCTTTAAAATTGAGTTTAGAGGTTTGACCTTAAAAAAAAGTCTGATTTACACTACCGCTCAAAAGTATTTGCTCATCCTTTAAGAGAAAACTCGAAAACTAAATTGTGTCTATTATAGTCATTCATTCTCATTGTAGTTATTTATTTATAGTCATTAATAGTCGTTTATTTATAGTCATTAATTTATATTTATTTATAGTCATTTATTTATAGCCATTAAAACACAATTGTAGTCATTTATTTATACTCATTAATAGTCGTTAATTTATAGTCATTAATTTATATTTATAGTCATTTATTTATAGTCATAAAAACACAATTGTAGTCATTGTAGTCATTTATTTATAGTCATTAATAGTCGTTTATTTATAGTCATTAATTTATATTTATTTATAGTCATTTATTTATAGTCATTAAAACACAATTTATCTAGGTGGGCAGATACTTTTGCGCGGTAGTGTATGTAAAATATGTATGAAATATCGAAGTAATAAGCTGAAAAAGAGTTCCTGGATATTGATCCAGAGAGACCAATATATTTTATAAATGCAATAAAAAATAAAATTACAAATTAATTCTGCCGGTAAAATAGTCATGTCCAGCATTCTCCGCGAACTTATCAATTTATCGTGTATTTCTTCGAAAGATTCTTCTCCCCGGCGAGGAGCTAGATTGCTTGGAATGTCGCCAGCGAGGTCGTCCAGTCGGAAAGAGAGACTCACCGAGATGCCCGGGAGCCTTTGTGAGAGAAAGTGGCGAAAAAGAATGCGCGGATAGTGGACTCGAAGGAGAAGGAATTGGACCCGAGAAGGGTGGACACAGGAAGGAAGGAAGGAAGGAAGGAAGGAAGGAAGGAAGGAAGGATGGAAAAAAGAGAGAAAGAAGAGGCGAGGACGAAGACCACGAAATATCTGTCAATCGCAAGAAGGCGAAGAGGACCAGCAGAGTCCCGGCAAAGTCGATTTAACGCCCGTTAAAGAAGCAATTCCTTTAAGAAAGACGAGCGCCAGCAGGGACAAGGTAACCTCCTTCCCCCGGAAGATCCTTGACCCTCTTCGAAGGACTTATGACCTTTCCGCGAAAGAATCGCTTCCGTTCGCCATTATCGACGAATAGAACATCAATAACCAATTCCGTAAGACTAATATCGCGAAAATTAGTTTTCCGAAAGTCCTTTTCCCCCATCTCGGCGCTCGTAGAAGCTTCGTTAAAGGATCGCAGGACCGCTTCATGGTTCTCTTAATGTCCATCTTTCAGAGGTGGAAGAGAAGGGAGGACGAGCGATCGTGAATCTTTTTTTATCGTTATGCGATAGCCATTATTTTTTTCGGCATTTTTAAAATTCCAATTATCGACAAGGTGCGATATTTCCATAAATTAAGGGGATCCTGTTTTATCGGCAAAATGTGAGGTTAGATTCAACTATAAATCTATTTATTGGCTATACGACTTGTTTTTTACCAGACTATACAGATTGATAAACCTTTCTCCTGTACAAATTAAAGTATTATTATTAACAAATGTGGAAGTGCTCTAATTTCAGGTAAAAAACAATCCGTATAACCATAATAAATAGATTTATAGTTGAATCTAACATCACAATTTGTCGATAAAACAGGACTGAAATTCAACTGCATTTAGGATCCCCTTAAGAATCACGATCACAATTGCACGATGCGATCACGTGATAGGGTGTTCAAAGGACTTGTTCCAGAACACGGGTCGTCACAAGGATGTAACCCTGTGCAATCGCGCGGGATGTAAATCTTTCGCGAGTCTTTCCAATGTGGCGTTGATGAATAAGGAATCGCTCGCTTTTGTACCCTGTAAACGAAATACAGAGAAAGAGAGATAGGAGTGATATAAAGACCTCGTCGGAAACTGATTGTGAGTTTCATCAAGCACTAGCCCTCCCTCCCTTCTTTCTCTCTCACTCTCGCAATCTCGGCTCCTTTATATATTCGCTCTTATCAGGAACGCTGTTGAAGAGGGATGGGGCCGACACGCCCGAAGGAGGCCCGAAACAGGATTTTGCCTACCAAAGTTGACGGAGTATTCGCCATACATTATTCCAGGTCCTTTGTGTGCGCGTCGTGCCGTATCTGTTACGTTGTTCTCGCGCCTTTTTCATCTTTTCTTTGTCACCCCGCACATACACATATACACTGCTTGGTAAAAAATCGACTATGAGCGCCCCCGTATTTTTAAGTTATCCAGCTATAACTTGGCAATATGTGTTGTGTTTATTTATTATAGAGTATGTAAATTGACTTTAAAAAAAAATGAAACTTGCGAAATAGTGTTATTTCAATTCACAAAAATAATAATATTGAAAAAATGCGCTAATTAAAAAGATTTAAAAAAATGTTAATTAAAAAATAATATTAGATTTAATTACAAATTAAGAGAAAAATAGAAATAATTAATACGAAAAATAAAAAAATATAAAAAGAATTGAAAAATTAAAAATTGTAAATTATAAAGAATTGTTTAGAATAATTCTATAGGATCATTATTTTAAATGATTGAAAGTTAAAATTTTTCATAATAATATTTACACAACTAAATAAATTTTTTTTGCAACATTTAATTATTTTAAGTAAAAACGTAAAGTACATGATTTACTTAATTAAATAATAGTATTTGTAATTCATTTTCCTTTTACACTTCTTTTACATGATATGTTTTTACGCACTTTTAATAATTAATCAAATGTCAAAGATTTGTTTTATGCACGTGTTTCACGTATATGGTGTGTCACGTTTCTTTATGATAAAACATTTTAATAAATGTATATACGTATTTGCAGCTTTATACGTAAAAGTGAACAATATAATATTGAAAACATTGGAATCAAAATTGAAATATGAAAGTGTTGTGAAAATAAAGAACAAATAAATTCAGACTGTTGAATTTGATCGAACGTGTTATCAAGCATATCATGTCAACACGGCGAAATCGTGAAGAAATAATAAAAAAAGCAAACATCGCAGACATTTCTGTTTCAAGGGGATTGAAAGCACTGGGCACTCGACGTGTTTCAGTCGAGATCCAAACATCGAGAGGTATAGTTCGATTATATTGCGTGCTGATAAGATTTCAATTTCACATAGTGTTTGCAAGACCAAATTGCGATTGTTAAGGATTAGTAATTACGTATCTGCATCTTATGTAATTGGAGCAAGACTGGAATTGTATATTAAAAAAGAAGGTAAAAATAATATAGTATATAATATAAAAATATAGAATCAAAACTAATAAAATTTTTAGATTAGTTTATATATTATTTTGTATATTATTTATATATTATTTTAAAACTGTATTTTAAAATTTTAAAAATATAGGTAAAAATTGATGTTTAGAACAGAATTTTGATTTTCGAAATGGAATTTTTTTAATAATAATTAAATTATCTTATAAAATATTGATATATTAAATGCAATGATTATAACGCAAATAAATATTTAAGTTCAGAAAATAATATTTAAAGTAAGAATAATTAGAAATTTTATGTATATTGTGCCTTTTTATATTGCTCAGTTGAAAACTGTTCATAGTTTTATTTTAATTAGTGACCTAATGCAATTATATATTTATTTGTTTTTTGTGATATTTCAATTTTCAAGACCATTTTCTAACGTTAATATTAGTCATTTATTGCACAAAATAAATATCAAGTAAATTTGTTGACTAAAAATTTCTCGAAAGTCCGATTTTATATGATCAGATATAAACGTAATAAAATATAAATGTCTACAAAAAGTAACGTGTTATATTATTATTAACAAATTTTCGTGTTTCTTCTTCGCAGATAATCTTCCCGATCTGATGCTATGGCAGAGCCATGAGAGGCTTTGAAAAATAATAATTGCTTCTAGTCCAAGGAGAAATTACGATTCTTAAAGCAAAGGCTACTTCTTTGGAGACAACTCAAGTATTTACTATGTATGTTTCACATTTGGATTCGAAACAGACAAAAATATCGAAGAAAGATCACAAAAGGTATATGTTTTTTGATTATAAATATATGAGACATACATAATATTGCCTATTCAAAAAATTAATATTTATATTAATAAGTTTTATTCGCTTTTTATTATTTATATAAAATATTAAAAATTGTGAAAAATAACATTATATTATTGTTATTATTTTGAATTACTTAATACTATAATTTTTTATTAAAATATACAATAATCTAATTATTTGAAATAGAAACGCAAAATATGTCACTTATTTAATTAAAGAACAGTATTTATAATTATTGTTATAGTATCTACAATATAATTCAGAAATAAGTTAAACATACAATAAAATATTTGGATCTTTTTTTTATTTAATTTAAAGTATAAACGTATGTTAAACATGTTATATTAACAAATTTTTATATTTTTTTCGCAGACAACTTTCCAAGTCCGATATTATGACAGAATCGCCCACAATTTTTAAAATCAATGATTCCTCCAAATCCGATAAGAAACAGTCTTCTAACATATCCAGGCTCAAGAATGAATTAAATTTAATGCAAGAAAGTAATAATCTTCTGGAATTATATCTTCATATACAGAATGTACAAAGATGCATTTCCGAGTTAAATGTATCTGTAATTTTACAAAATTACAAAAGGTACATATGTATTTATATATATTCTAAGATTAAGAATTAGTTGAAATCAAGTCTCACAATACGCAAAATTTAAGATATTTATGAACAAAATTTTATTTAGATGTTTTTACATATTTTGATGATTTTAGTAAATTATTGAAAATTATAATTTGCACGAGTAAAACTATTTTCTCAATTAGTACAATAAATGTTTGAAGTTTAAAAGCATAAAACAATATTTATTTGCATAAAAGTAGTATTTATTATTTATTGTTAATATCTGCAAAATAATTTAGAAATATTTCAACATATTTTAAAATAACATGCTAAAATAATATATATATATTAATGACAGATCTCGCTGTTTTCTTCGCAAACAATCTTTCAAATCTGATATTATGGCAAAATTGCCTGAGCCTTTGGAGATCGATGATACTTTTAAGTCTGATGAGAAATCATTGCCTCGCCGAAAATGTCATGCTTTGACGCCAATAGAAACTTTTCTTCTCGGGTTTGGAATCTTCGCAACATTCTCGCTTATCGAATACTCATTGCATTTTTACAATCGTGCTGTTTTATTTTATAATCTCGTTTATATTTTTTCTATTTCCATTTTTCTATTTCCATTTTTTTTCGTAGCTATAAAATTATATAGCGTTATTTATAAAAGACATGTTTTGTTTTGTTCTACATGGATAAACAATTATTTTTGTAAGTGAGTATGTTTGAGTAAATTAAAACAATATTTTTATTCTCTTTCTCCTGAATATATATGCTAAATTTTTTTGATACCACAAGAAATATCTATTTCTATTGTATTTTTATATGGAATTTTTCCATATATAATCTAGAAAATTGGTGATTTACCTTGTAAATAATAACGTAGATATTTGAGAATTGCCAGACAGAATTTAAAAAAAGGTAAGAATCTTCTCTCGACCGTACTGGCAAATATTATTTATTAAATCACAACGTTTCGACCCTTCTTTGAGTCCTTATCAAGTGATCTAAATATACATAGAGAAGAAATACAGTACAGAGATTAATATAATAAAAAAAAATTATTACTTCACTTAACAATATTACAAATAATAAAAAGAAGCAAAACATACTTGTAAAAATAAAAATAAAATTATAACAGATAATAATCTTTAAGGTTCGCCAGTAATAATTAATAAAAATCTTTCCTCAATGGTAAAAGTCGACAAAACTGGCAATCATTTATTATAGATAATTAGTTAAAATACAACGTTTCGGCTGTCATTGCAGCCCTTTTCAAGTAAATCTATAAAAAGTTACATAAAAATAATTATAATTTTAATACATTTTATCGCAACAAATAATTATAAATTCATATACAAAAATATGTTACATACCAAAAGTAAATGCAAAATAAATTAATATGCAGTAAATCAAATTCACTGCATACCTCAGACAACATTCACCATAATTTTAATGAACAATGTAAAATTGACAGAAGTAAGCAAGAAATAAATAGATGTTAACAGTTAGCAAGAATCTTAGTCACTACGTGTTAAAAAAAAAAAAATCGAGACGTCGTCGGTTTTTTTAATCATAATAGGCATATCCTCCATAAATATAATAAGAGTGAGAAGTTGCGTCTAAAAAACAAATTTGAATATATCAGTCGAAAGTATTATGGGATTCGAATCTATTGAGAAAAATAGATTATAGTAAATGGATAGTGAATATTAGTAATTGTCACGTTCCTGACTCATTGATGAATTTTTTATAACATTGAAACTAAGTTGACTTAAACAATGTGTTTCGAGATCATCCATCACCATGTTTCGCTTCTTTTTATTATTTTGTAATATTGTTAAGTAAAGTAATAATTTTTTTTTTTATTGTATTAATCTCTGTACTGTATTTCTTCTCTATGTATATCTAGATCACTTGATAAGGACTCAAAAAGGGTCAAAACGTTGTGATTTAATAAATAATATTTGCCAGTACGGTCGAGAGAAGATTCTTACCTTTTCTTGTAAATAATCTTTTAATATTAGAATGTAGCATATAATCCAGAGAAAAAAGATATTTTTTTAAATTTACACTTCAACATTGTAATAATTTTATAGCCAAGCAAAGAAGAGAAAACAAAATTAAGCAATTCAAAATTGATTTTTGAATGAGAGATATTACTTTTTAAAGACATGTTTTTATTAATAAATAATTATTTTTCTATGTTAGAATATGTTTGAGTATAAATTCAACAAATATATCTTTCTGCTTTCTCTGCATATACAATATATGTTACATTTTGCTATAAGGTATTTACAAGGTAAATCTCTTAACTCTTCTAAATTATATTAGAATATATAGTTTTCTAAGAAATATCTACAAAACTCGAAATTTTATAAATTTTATAAATATTATAAAACCGCATAATTTTATATTTTATTATATAAAAGACGTGTTTCTATTATATTGATAAATAATTATTTTTGTATGTTAGAATATTTGAGTGTAAATTAAAAAAATATTAATTAATGAAAGGCTCGTATAAATTAACAAATTAAATAAATCAAATATAGTAGGCCAACTGAACGAGCAAATAAATAAGGTGTAAAAATTTTTTTATTATTAGTTAAATAATTAAATTAACATTCCGTTACAGAATCGATATAAATTGTAAACGTTTCGACTGCACTACAGTCTTTATCAATACGTAAAAGTTAAATATTAAAATACAAAGTTAAATGTTAAAAATACAAAGTTAGTTAAATATTAAAATATAAAATTAAAACGATTCTTCGCTGTTGACCAATAGATATGCAAGGCGATTGGTCTGAGATGCCAAGTTATGCGACATTTGAACATGCTGCGGATATAATACGCGAATTAAATCAATGTCAGAGAAAATTAAAAAATCTTTCAACTTACATTATCGTTTTAACAAGTCCTTTTTCCCGATATTTCAAGTGTGTGTTGCAAAGTCTGAATACCAAATGTCAAAATAGAGAGCGTGATGTATTTATTTATTACCAATGTTTTTTCTAAATTATGATTCAGCAAATTTTTTAAGTATGTCAAAATAACTACTGTCTAACAATTCGGTGTCTTTATTTAAATTAATTCCATTTTTCTGTTCTTTAATGTGGATCATTTCAGATATTAGTCTTTTATGGTAATTCTTTTCATGATCCATAATTTTAATATTGTCCCAGTCAAATGTATGTTGTTCGTTTAGAATGTGTTCCGTGACAACCGAATGTCTAGCAGAGTCTAATTTAATATTATTTTTATGTTCTTTAAGTCTCGTTCCTAACTGTCTTTTTGTCTGTCCGACATATGTGGCGTCACAATCGTTGCAATTCAATTTATAAATAACGTTAGAATTCGTGGGGCAATTATTTTTGTCCTTTTGAACTTTTATGAAGTCATTCAATTTTTTAATGCAACGATATCCTACCACTACGTCAGGTCTTCTTATTGCTGAAGCAACTTTCTCAGATATTGATTCTATATATGGTATGACAAAATATTTAATATTAGTATTAGTATTATTAGTATCTGTTATATTGTTATTATTCGACTTCGCAACACACACTTGAAATATCGGGAAAAAGGACTTGTTAAAACGATAATGTAAGTTGAAAGATTTTTTAATTTTCTCTGACATTGATTTAATTCGCGTATTATATCCGCAGCATGTTCAAATGTCGCATAACTTGGCATCTCAGACCAATCGCCTTGCATATCTATTGGTCAACAGCGAAGAATCGTTTTAATTTTATATTTTAATATTTAACTAACTTTGTATTTTCAACATTTAACTTTGTATTTTAATATTTAACTTTTACGTATTGATAAAGACTGTAGTGCAGTCGAAACGTTTACAATTTATATCGATTCTGTAACGGAATGTTAATTTAATTATTTAACTAATAATAAAAAAATTTTTACACCTTATTTATTTGCTCGTTCAGTTGGCCTACTATATTTGATTTATTTAATTTAAAAAATATTTTCTCTCTGAGTATTATGTTATATTTTGATACCACAAGAAATATACACATATCCGATAAATTTATTATAGTTTGTATAAATTGATTTTTGTTGAAATACTAATAGATGTACATTTGTTGTCAGGTATTAAATTTCTTAACAATCGCATTTATGACTTAGTTTTTAGGAATTACTTTGATTGTTTTATGTTTTAATTTATAACAATAATTAAATTATTATATAATGTGTGAAAAAGTTTAGATTACAAATAATTATATTATATTATGTACATATATATGTATTATTTTGTATTTTTAATATATTTAGGAATAAGTTGTTGAAACGAAATATTAATTGTGCAGTAAAGGTATAATGATATGTTTTTTTATTAAATAAAAGCTCTTGCGCCCAAAAATAATTGATTTAGCGTAAAAAGTTACACGAAAAAAATTATAAGATCTTAGATGTTAAATTACATGTACAATTAGTTATAATCAAATTTAGCTGTTGTTTGTACGTGATTTGGCGAGAGACACTATATCTCTTGATACATACAGAGTGTCAATATATTGAGCGAGTGGCATCACACAAACATACAAACAAAAGCTGATCGATCTCAATAAATGTCAGTCGTCCATATGTCATCGCGTTCAGATAAATTTGCAGTACATAATAGATAGACAGTTGTCAAACCTCTGTAAATACTTTTAGTAAAAAAAAAAAAAAAAAAAAAAAATAAAGCTAAAGAATTCTCATTGGAATCAAAATTTTATTGTAGCTTCTTGTGTAAATTTAATTTTTTCAAGACCCATCTAAAGTGTCTATTATATTCTTTTGAAAGAAATCGAGAGAAAGAAAAATAAATCTACATGGAAATAAATTTTCTAAAATCATCGAAAATTGAAACGAACATTGAAATAGTCGAGTTTGTTATTTCCAATATTTGATTACGATATATAATTTTTTTCCATTTTTAACTTGGTGTTACATAATTCTTCATTCGCAAAGGTGCGTTCGTCGAGGAAAGGGAGACGAAATTCGCTTTCTGCGTTATTCTCGTACGGTAACGAAAATGAAGAGAGGGACTAAGTGTATCGCGCAGACCATTAATCTGTCAAATCCGAAAACATGCGTGAGGCCGAAAGTTCAGAGGCTCGTCAACGCAGATCCACACTTCAATTCTGATCGCGTAACCGATTACTGGATCGCTAGACCGGTGGCTGTTAAAGTCTGCTCGCGGAAAGACATGCAACAAAAGTGCCCGCTAAAACTAAAGGTGTATGAAACAAATCATTTTATTCCGATTCGTTAAAAAGTTTTAATAAAAAATTGGATAGGGGTTGCTAGTTCCATCATTAATGCAGGAGAATTAAACACATATTATTAAGTATTATTAAGAACAGAAATATTAATATATAATAATATATAATAATTTATAACAATAATTTATAAAAATTAATAAGTTCTTTTTACTAATAGGAAATATCCACCAAACTTCATTTTTTTAAGAGAATGCTGACCATGACTGTTTTATCGACTTTGAGTTCAAGGGTTTTTCTTTTTATTGGCTGCACAAATTGAAAAATCGTTCTTCACAATTAAAGTACTGATAATAATAAACGGGGAGCGCTGTAATTTCGTATAAAAAAAACAATAAGAGTTAAAAAATTATAGTTTTTGTATCGGACTCTTAATTGCATCAGCTCATAACAATATTTATTTAATACAAAAGTTCTGCAGTTTATTTGTGCACAAAATATGGCGCTGTCAATAGAGATGACATGAAAGAATAATACAGAAGTAATATAAATGATATTAAAAGCCTGTATCAAAAGATTCGTACTTGAATTAATTATGTATGTATATTTGCGCGCGGAATGTCGAGGCATAAAACAGCAAAAAGTCGGATAGCGCTCCCCATTCATTATTATCAGTACTTTTATTGTAAAGAATTTTTCAATCTGTATATTCAATAAAAAGTGAACTTAACCAATTTTGAAATATAAAACAGAACTACGGCAGCATCCCTTTAAGATAGATTTAATTTTTCTTGAAATTAATTAGTTGTGCACAGAGCGTAAATTTGGTATAATACGAAATTAAATGTCAATTCGATTTTATTTCCTTAATAAACCCCTTTGTTCCTTTTAAGAAATATAGAGATGAGAAATAGGATAATTCTTTAAAAGACTTAATCAAACAAATCGAAGTTTCGTTCTTTTTAATATTTAAATCATACATTTATTTTAAAGGATTTTAATAGGATTTAATTTAAATACTTATACAAAAATTGAGTCCTATTTTGTACTTTAAATAAAAGAACAATTTTCTAGAATTAAAAAAAAAATGTTTTCAGCAAAACTAGATTAAATATAGGTTCAAAAGAAGATGATCTTCAAAATATCAAAGTAGGTGGAAATGTTAGAATGAAACCTAAGAGAGAAGAAACAAAATCGATTGGAGAAATAAAGAGATACCAGCATTCTGTCCCTTCTCTTTCTTTCTCTGTCGGTTTTAAAAGGTAAAAATATTCGAACATCAATACCCCTAATTTTTTTGACTTGTATCGGATACAGGGCATGTATATTCCGTGTGAATTGCATCCAATTTCGAGTTAAATCATGTGGCTTGTCGAGCCTCGCACGATATTGACACGCCGTGTAACGAGATGATGGTGTTCGAGCACCTGTACGGAATTGGTTAGTCGATACGTAGTTACGTTTACCTGGAATTAGCTCGACAGTCGGTGTACACTGCTACAGCGACTATCGATGGGTCTCTAATGGAGGAGGACGGTCGCCGAGCTCTCACCTAACTGTTCGGGACATCATCCAGGTTCTTGGAATGGGGAAAGGAAACGGAGAGAGGTCAAGCACAATGACGTGTAGCTAACGAAAAACTTGACGTATTTGTCTTCGTCATCGTTGATATTCGATCGTGATTCGATAAGTGTGCGATCGTATTAACCTCTCTATCGATATATGATTTTTCACCATTTCATCAATGTATGGGTACCAATTGTGTGTTTTCGACATATTGAATTGTGACGATTTATTTATAACAGCTGCTGGACATCGAACATTCGTTTATTTAATTATTTTAGGAAATTTCCAAATACAAGGACTCTATATTTCGTTTCGGGCGGAGAAGAAATCCAAGATATATTTTTGACATTTATAAAATTGCTTTGGGTACCCATTCATTGAAACAAAAGGATTATTATTTTTTATTTTGTTATTTCGTTCGAATTATTTCTGTTTGATCCTTGCGTGCTACTGTCAAATAAAACGAAGCAAGAATCGTATTTATTTAATCCTTTTATCAATATATATGTAACTCTTCACTTTTTCATTAATATATAGGTATTAACTGCGTGTTTTGAACACAATGGATTGTGATAATTTATTTACAGCAGCTGCTGGATACTTAACATTCTTTCCTTTAATTATATTTCAGGAGACTTTTTAATACAAAGACCTGTTTCAGGCAGAGGAAAGTTCTTTTTTATCATTTAAGAAGCCTTTAGGTACCTGTTCGTTGACTCGTTGAGAAGGGTTAAAGAGGAGTTGATGAACACTGGAACTAAGTCGAGTATTTACAAGATCCTTCGTGCTTTTTTCCTTAAAAATCTCAAATAAGATAATCTGGATGCAGATTCACGCAGCCTGTCCTGTTGAGACGCCTCTATCGAGTGGCCAACGACTTTGCGGGATCGCGATGTTCTTTCTGAAGGGTGCCATCGCCGCCAGTCTTGTTTATTGGACCTGCACGGAGGGTCTCTGGGGCGACAGTAGCGAAGCAGAGGATCTCTATTGCAGAATAATAAGCGCAGTTTTTTCCACTGCTCGACCGGTAAATATCAAATTTCTTTCTTTCTTTTTTGAATCTAAAATTTCCTCTTTCGAGAGAGAATCGTAACGCTTTTTATCCGCATCTCGGCAGCAGTGTTTGCTGTTATTTAAATAAATTATATAGATGATCATATAGATGAAAATTTGACGTCATCTTATCTTTAGATAGATAATAAAAATATGGATCATCTATATTTGCCTCTCTCTCTTAGATGAAAAAAGTATTATCTTTATTAAATTATATAGAATAATTTTCCGCTAATTTTAGTTTAGAATCATAGCATATAAAAATATTTATATAGTAGATACTTAAGAAGATGCTATGTCTGTTTTACCGACTTTGAGTTCAAGGGTTTTTCTTTTTATTGGCTATATAGATTAAAAAATTCTTCTCCACAATTAAAGCACTGACAATAATAAACGGGGAGCGCTGTAATTTTGTATAAAAAACAATAAAAGTTAAAAAATTACAGTTTTTGTATCGGTCTCTAGCATCAGCTCATAACAATACTTATTTAATGCAAAAGTTCTGCAGTTTATTTGTGCACAAAATATGGCGCTCCCAATAGAGATGACATGAAAGAATAATACAGAACTAATAAAAATGAGATTAAAAGCCTGTATCAAAAGATTCTTCAATCTGCATATTCAATCAAAAGTGAACCTAACCTAACTTAAAGTCGGTAAAACAGAACTACGGCAGCATTCCCTTAAGCAGTAAGCGATAAAAATTTATAAATAAAAATATGAATAGTTATAAAAATTTTTTATAACTGCGTTTACATAAGCAGTTTTAAAATTATCTAGAAAATTTATTTAGCTAATTTTAAAATCATCTAAGCACAACACCGCTCTGCAGGTACAGCTGCCGCATCTGGAGGGAATAAGATACTCGATGTCAGAAGCGTACAATCGCGCTCTGGTGAGATGCATGGATATTATCGTCGGTGTACCGTTGGAGCTGCATCGGAAGCTGCGAGATCTCTTATTCCCGTGCGACGACGTAACCGGAGGAACGGAAGAGGCGGAAGAACGCGAGGCGCATCTCACCAGCTGACGAGAGAGAGAGAGAGAGAGAGAGAGAGAGAGAGAGAGAGAGAGAGAGAGAGAGAGAGAAAACTCGCAGCAGATATGATTCTTCAAATTGTGTCAATATTTAAGATATTACATCGCGCCGCGGGTCGCATTACGATATTTTTCCTTCTCCGGAGAACCTTTTCCGGTATAGTGTACAAAACTTTCGCGTAATCCTGGAGATTACGTAAAATTTTCAAGCAAATGTGAATTATTATTTTTATTGTGAGATAAAAAGACAAAGAGGAATTTCTTCAAAGCTCGCGTACTCGATTCGCGTCGCGCGGTTGCTATTAAAAATATTTTATATAAGGTTGCTTCTTTTTTCCCTCTCTTTGCTCTTCCACATGCACATATATGCACACATACACACATCGCGAATACGTTAAGGCAAGGATTAAAATTCCGCGTGGCATCTTTTCCATTTTTTCCCCCCGTTATGCGAAGAGCACACAAGGGAGCTCGCGGAGCGTGCATCTCAAGCGATTTTTATGGTCCGTCTGTCTATTGCCGTAAAACCTTGAATAAAATCGGAATAAAAACTACACCCGACGCTACGTTATACCTTCTTCTTCGCTGCAGTGCTTTTAATGCAAACGCGCAAATTTTCCCATATGCATTTTACACGTAGAGCGTAATGTATACTGTAATGATAAATGCGTTGAAAGAATCATTAAAAAAAAAAAATATATATATATATATATATATATATATATATATACGCATACATATTGTTCAATTGGATCGTTGAAATATAACTTGTGCAGAAAATGAAAGATGTTTAGTCTCTTATTAATTGAAAGTGCATTGTTATATAAAATAATTAATAAGAGCCTCACTATTATATAAAATAATTAATAAGAGAATTATTAATTAAATTTGTTATTAATTGAAAATGTCATTCATTGAAGCAGTGACACAAGATTCATCCAAAATGATTGAAATTTGCGGATTTTTAGTGGAAACACTCACAGTTTGCTCCTCCATTATTTTTCAATAAGATTTTACTGAAAAATCAACACTAATTGTATATATTTGTAAAATGTATTTTTTGTAGCTTTTTCTATATAGTTTTTTATTTTCTGGAAAAGATTCTATACATAAAAAAGTATCTGGAATAAAACGCATAACTAATTTAAAAATTCAGTTGTTTAATATTCTATCGTACTTTTTCTTAAGATATGATAAAGCTGCAAAAAAATAAACGAGTCTTTTGATCAAAAATTCTGTGAATATTTCAAGCAAGTTCAGTGAAACATTCACACTTTGTTCCTCTATTCCATTTCTCACTAAGAAAAATCAACAATAATATAGAAAATGAAAGATGTTTTTTCTCTTGTTAATTGAAAAATTATTATAATAAAATAATATATCAATAAGTGAATTATATATATATATATAATTTTTTTTATTAATTGAATACCATTCATTGAAACAGTAAAATATAAGGTTTTATTCAAAATTATTGAGTTTCGCGGATTTTCAGTGAAAACACTCACAGTTTGATCCTTCAGCTTACGTTCTAGTGAGATTTCACTGAAAAATTAGCAATAATATTTGCAAAATGTATTTTTTAAAGCTTTTCCTATTTTTTTATTCCATACACAATATATGTAGAATAAAACACATAACTAATATTTAAAAATTCAAATTTATAATATATCGTACTTTTTATTCTTAAGATGTGATAAATTTAAAAAATAATAAAGATTCTTTTGATCAAAAATTCGCATAATTTCTTGATCAAAAATTCAGTGAATATTTCAAATGTTTTCAGTGAAACACTCACACTTTGCTCCTCCATTTCATGTCCCACTAAGAAAAATTAGCAATAATATACAAAAAATTAAAGATATTTATTCTTTTATTAATAAGTAAATTATTAATTAAATTTTTTACTAATTGAAAATACCATTCATTAAAATAGTGAAACAAAATTTTATCCAAAATCATTAAGTTTCGCGGATTTTCAGTGAAATCACTCACAGTTTGCTCCTCCAGTTTATGTCCTAGTGAGATTTCATTGAAAAATCAGTAATTAATCGTGCATAGATTTGCAAAATATATTTATTATAACTTGTTTTATATATTTTTAGAAGATCTCACATATATTTGGTGTGAAAAAATATAACTAATATTCAAAAATTTAAATTTATATATCATGCTTTTTTATTCTTAAGACATGATAAATCCATACAAAATAAATAAGACACTTGAAATCAAAAACTGAGATATTTCTTTAAAAATATGTTATTTTGTTTCATATATACAATATATATAATATAATATTTTTATAAGCTTTTTTACTAATTTTTTATATATTATCTATATTTTCTATATAATATATAAAGATGATTTTTAAAAATACTAACTGATTTTTTTCACTAATACCAATTTGTTATATTTATATAAAATTATATAATATTGTTATATAAAAGAGGGAACATTTAGCGCGTTCTTAATACCTTAACCTTAAGACTTACGTGTAACCGTCTTCTCCTCTTCAGGGCGCCGCAGCAGGAATTTCTCAAAGCCGTCGCTCCGAGGGTTGACTCCTCACGTGCTGAGTATTCCTTTTTCGTCGAACCGGAAGGAAGTTTCGGCCCCCATTTTTCAGGCGCGTCTATCTTTTTGCGGCACGTGAGCGTCGTTTGTCAAGGCGCCTATTTTACTTTATAAGTGTGCTCTCCTCTCTCTCTCTCTCTCTCTCTCTCTCTCTCTCTCCTGAGGATATCCCTATATAGGTGAAATGCACCCTGTATTTCTCGTCAAAAAATAAAAGCTTTTTCTTTTCTTTAGTGTTCTTTAACAAAGTTTCCGGAAGATCATGTATCTTTTTTCCGAGACGTCTCGTTGTTCAATGTTTTGCATCTGCTGTTTCTCTATTTTTCGCGCCAAAATTTCAATATTCTGTCATCATTAAATTCAGTGCTGTTAGCTAAATAAAATCCTATAGATAATCTTCTTTTCTAAATTATTTAGAATAATAGTTAGATAATTTTAAGATCATAGCATATAAAAATACTTAATCAGTAAACGATAAAAACGTATAAATAAAAATATTATCTAGATGAATCGTCATATAATTTTATTTTTATCTAGGTATATTTAAAACGAAATTATTTTCATCTTATTTAAGATAAATTTATATATTTTTATATCATCTTTTTCTAGCTAATTTTAAAATTATCTAAGCACTGATTAAATCTAATATTCGCATTTTTGTAATAGATCATTCGAGGAGAAATTTTGACATAAAAGAAATTTTTCTGGCAACGAAGCGTGTTCTTTTGAACGTAAACACAGGAATTGAAAAAAACGAAACGTTTCCTTTTTTAATGTGAGTTGAGTTCCCGTTTATTAATTCAACATTTTTCAATGTCGGCAAAGAAAAAAAGATGCTTATTCTTTAACAGGAAATACACTTTTTATAAATAAACACAAGAGATTCGGACAATTAAACAGTTTATTCAGATCAAAACATGGTGTTATGTATATACATACGACTTTAGTTAAACGATATGTGGGGGGAGGGGGGAGGGGAATGGGGGCCTGATATGAAATCACCTATACAGTGAACTTGAGGTTCGACGACGTCGAAATCGATTTACATGGACTCTGTGTCGCGTCGTTACGTACAACTGATTATGTACAATTGTTACTCGCTATTTATTATTTCCTTGTTCGCCCATTTTTTTTTTATATTTTTGCACTTGATTGCGTGGCCGGGTTACGTCGATCTGAGAGCCCTCTCTCGGGTCGATCCGAGAGCCCTCTCTCGGGTTAGATCTGCGATATCTACTTTTGGCGATCTTTCTTGCACACATACACACGTGTGTGTGTGTGTGTGGGTGGGTGTGTATTAAATATATATATATATGTGTTAATATCCCCGACGTTCCCCGTTTTACAAAATGAATAGGCAGTAGAGTGCTTCGTCTTATTTCTAATTTCCTCGGTCCGCTTTAATATGTTTTACATCTCTCTCTTTCTCTCACTTCATTCATTCCGGAACAATTCATCGAACAGATTCTCTCTTACGGACGTAAAAGATATGTGTGCATCATCGTCGAAAAAAATAGGGGGGCGAAAAGGGGGACGGAAATGAAAAGATCCTTGTAAAATCGCGAGCCATCGAGCGCGAAACAATTTCAACGACATAAATCTTCTTCGAAGTGTAACATTAATTAAATTAAGAGAGGAGGCGCTCGATAATCATCTTGAACGTTCAACTTATCTCTTATATAGACTCTCTCGTGATAATAATATATATTATATACAGCGATGCGCATCATCTAACGAGCAATCATTATATCATCTCGTGTGTATACAGGGTGTCCCAGAATTAGTAGGACACCTGTTAATGACAGATCCCTGGGATCATTTGGAGACGATTTTTTCTCAACGAAAATGTCGAGACATCAATAATTTTCGAGTTATAAAAGATCGAAAATAAGAGGTTTCTCGTAAACTACGTTTTGTGGAAATAAAATATTATTAACAAAATCACATTCTTTTTATTAATTTCATGTAGAGTTTACTTTAATAGAATTTTTATTTAAAGGTTAAGGTGGTCCTAAACATTCTTGAGTTTCACTCCTGTTTTATCGACAAAATCTGAGATTAGATAACCTATAAATCTATTTATTGGCTATACAGATTGTTTTTTTACCTGAAATTAGAGCATTTCCACATTTGTTAATATTAATACTTTAATTTGTACAGGAAAAGATTGATCAATCTGTATGGTCTTATATCCTTATAGAAATTTATCACTAGTAAATCCAAATAATCACTTATTTTGAGTACTTAAATTGCTGCATATCAGTAATTTAAGTACTCAAAATAAATAATTATTTGGACTTACTAGTGATAAATTTCTATAAGAATATATATCTAGGTTGCAGAATTACGAAGAAAAAGAATTCATAATTATTTTTTGCCAATAAATAGATTTATAGCTGAATCTGATCTCATATTTTATCGATAAAACAGGACTGAAACTTAGATTAGCTTAATACATCATGGCAAAAATTGGGAACATGCAAAAAATGATGGCTTTTCTCGATATTTTCGCTGAGGAAAAATCGTCTCCAAATGATCCCAGGAATCTGCCATTAAAAGGTTTGCTATTAATTTTAGAAAACCCTGTATGTGAATATATATGTATGTGTGTGTATGATACTTGATCGTTATCGTTTGTTTTTTTTGTTTACACATCGAAAATATGAATTCCTGGCGCCGATTCCTCGCTCTTATTTTTTTTCCGTGTTTTCTTTCGTTTTTTTTCCTTCGTTCGTTTGTTTATACACATTACAGGAGTATCTATCGATCATTTTCTCGACGCGAGAGAACTTTTCACGAGCACACAAAGTTCGTATTACATCATTTCCATTATAGAGATACGCTTTTCGTGTTCGTTAGTTACGTTCTCGCGCGTGAAAAGTTTCACGACCTTTTTCTTCTTCAAGTGTCACACGGGGAAGACCAATTTTTTTTTTGCAAACACCCTTACATAAGTGAAGCTCCCTTCACGCGTGCACAGAAATTCGTGGACGTCATTTTATCGTCTTCCGTCCCTCTTTCTCTTTCTTTCTCTCTTCTCTCGTCGCGAATCAAACGAAATCGCGAATAACGATTCGATAAAGAACCCGTTAAACTATGTATATATTTACACGCGCATACACACATACATACACACACATACGTCATCCGGGATAAGAGTATTTCGATGAAAACGCTTGAGAATATTTGATAATCTCGTAGAGTTATCCGACGTTTACGGGAATACAGAAAACTCATATCAGCGGTAGAAAAATTTACAAATGTTCTATCACACATACATACACCAACACACACATACGTACATACTATAGAACAATAGAGTATAACGCGTGTCTGGTTTTGCTTTTCTAAGAATCGTTTCGTTTTTTGTACATTACGCGGTTCGCACATTCGTCCCCTAAATGGGGAGGAAAAAGGGAGAGTTGCGTCTCTTCTCGGTCTTAATTTAACCCCTCTGTCAATGCGGAACAGGGTAACCCGGATTAAAGTAATTTACATTTTTTTCAAGCAATTTTAAACGTTCAAAATGTGTCGGACCTTTTTCCACCCCCCAAAAAAAAAGATACAAAAAGTCTGCTATAATAAAAAGTGTCAAAAAAAATTTAATACCCATAAAAAGATGAAAAATTATGCATCGACAGAAGGGTGTCGCTGCGTAATTTCGATGTCGCTCTCTTCGAGATATCGCGAGAGCGAGAAAGCTGCGCGCCCGGAAATATCGAATTCGGAATTTAACCGGGATATATTTGATGCCCTTCGGTGTCTCTCTCTCTCTCCGCCCTATTTTTTTTTTTTTTTTTTTGTTATCGCGATATCGGAACCGATCGTTCAACCTTAAAACTGCATTTCACGCCTTCGAAACTGCACACAGGGCCAAAGTAGCATCGGGCGCATTCCCTTTCCTTCATTCCGTCTCTCTTCCGGTATATTTTCGCGCGGTTCCTCCATTCGTCTTCATTCGAGCCATCGGAAAAGGGGTTCGTTCGAGAGCCTCTTATCTTTTCTCGTGTTTCACGGCCTGATGCTTCCGGACCAACGTCTCGTCGCTGGGATTCGGATTTATTTAAGGACGCCGCGAGAGATGCTAACAAGTTCGTGGAGAGATAGCAAAAAGAGGCGAGAGAGGCAACAGACGAAAGATTAATGTATTCTGGAGGGAAAAATCACACCTTTACAACTGAAAATAAATGTGCGAATATAAATCAATATGAATGTACATATATATAAATATATATATATATATATATATATATATATATAATACAAATATATATATATATATATATAAATATATATGAAGATGTATATTATATAAATCAGCTAAAAATAAGAAGAGGAAAAATAATCAATTATTCATTTATTAAAAAAAAAAATCTATAAATTATATATAAATATCTGTGAGAAAATTAAAGAGTCTTTTCGGGGAAAGCTATTTTATTTCAATTCAATGTACCAATTGAATTTCGAGGTAGCGCTTTCTCGCAAAATTTCGGTTCTCCTTTCATTCAATTCGATTCTTCCAACACTGTAACAAGAGTAAACGAACTCCGGCGAAGAAATATTCGATAAGACACCGTCGAAGATCATTTAATTAGGAACAAAGAGAAAAAAAGGGGAACAAAGACGATTAAGTCGACGACCGAGGGACGACAGAATGTTAGAACTTTGCGATATTCCTTCCTTCGGGGCGGCGAAGGGGTAGGAAGGGGTAAAAGTTTGCGAAAAGTTCTCGGTTGACTTCTCCGCATACTTTCGCTCGCTTTGCCCCGTGGAAGGAAAATTAATTGATCGCCAAAACAATATCGGCGACCGATGGTTGGTTTATATATGTACGATGTGTTTCTCGGGCGTCCGCAGGAATTTTTCCAGGGAGGAGCATGATTAAAATTGTTTGTTTCTTATTATTCTTTGTTAATTTTTTATTATTTTATTTCAATATTTTTATATTAAATAAAATTGCAAATCAATTCCAGTGTTTTTTTTAAATTTTGTTATTTCACTATGTTTATATTAAATAAAATAGCAAAAAATTCCAGTGTTTATTCATAAGGAGAGCAAATGTTTCATCTTTTTCCTGATTCCAAGAGGGGGCATTGCCCCCTCTGCGGCCGTCCATGATGACCGCAGGGAGAGGCATCATTTTTTTTCTTATTATTCTTTGTTAATTTTTTTATTTCAATATTTTTATATGAAATAAAATTGCAAAAAAATCCCAGTGCAAATCTTAATCTTTTTCCTGATTCCAAGAAGGGGGCAATGCCCCCTCTTGCCCCCTCTGCGGCCGTCCATGATGATGACCGCAGGGAGAGACATCATTTTTTTTTGTTTTTTATTAATCTTTGTTAATGCTTGATCTTTTTACTGACCCAAGAGGGGGGCAATGCCCCCTCTTGCCCCCCTGCGGCCGTCTATGACGATGACAGCAAAGAGGAGCATGGTTTTTTTTCTTATTATTCTTTGTTAATTTTTTTATTTCAATATTTTTATATGAAATAAAATTGCAAAAAAATCCCAGTACAAATCTTAATCTTTTTCCTGACTCTAAGAAGGGGGCAATGCCCCCTCGTGCCCCCCTGCGGCCGTTCATGATGATGACCGCAGGGAGAGGCATCATATTTTTTTTTTCTTATTAATCTTTGTTAATGCTTGATCTTTTTACTGACCCAAGAGGGGGGCACTGCCCCCTCTTGCCCCCCTGCGGCCGTCTATGACGATGACAGCAAAGAGGAGCATGGTTTTTTTTCTTATTATTCTTTGTTAATTGATTTATTTCAATATTTTTATATGAAATAAAATTGCAAAAAAATCCCAGTGCAAATCTTAATCTTTTTCCTGATTCCAAGAGGGGGGCAATGCCCCCTTTTGCCCCCTCTGCGACCGTTCATGATGATGACCGCAGGGAGAGGCATCATATTTTTTTTTCTTATTAATCCTTGTTAATGCTTGATCTTTTTACTGACCCAAGAGGGGGGCCATGCCCCCTCTTGCCCCCCTGCGGCCGTCTATGACGACGACAGCAAAGAGGAGCATGGTTTTTTTTTCTTATTATTCTTTGTTAATTGATTTATTTCAATATTTTTATATGAAATAAAATTGCAAAAAAATCCCAGTGCAAATCTTAATCTTTTTCCTGATTCCAAGAGGGGGGCAATGCCCCTTTTGCCCCCTCTGCGACCGTTCATGATGATGACCGCAGGGAGAGGCATCATATTTTTTTTTTCTTATTAATCTTTGTTAATGCTTGATCTTTTTACTGACCCAAGAGGGGGGCAATGCCCCCTCTTGCCCCCCTGCGGCCGTCTATGACAATGACAGCAAAGAGGAGCATGGTTTTTTTTCTTATTATTCTTTGTTAATTGATTTATTTCAATATTTTTATATGAAATAAAATTGCAAAAAAATCCCAGTGCAAATCTTAATCTTTTTCCTGATTCCAAGAGGGGGGCAATGCCCCCTTTTGCCCCCTCTGCGACCGTTCATGATGATGACCGCAGGGAGAGGCATCATATTTTTTTTTCTTATTAATCTTTGTTAATGCTTGATCTTTTTACTGACCCAAGAGGGGGGCCATGCCCCCTCTTGCCCCCCTGCGGCCGTCTATGACGACGACAGCAAAGAGGAGCATGGTTTTTTTTTCTTATTATTCTTTGTTAATTGATTTATTTCAATATTTTTATATGAAATAAAATTGCAAAAAAATCCCAGTGCAAATCTTAATCTTTTTCCTGATTCCAAGAGGGGGGCAATGCCCCTTTTGCCCCCTCTGCGACCGTTCATGATGATGACCGCAGGGAGAGGCATCATATTTTTTTTTTCTTATTAATCTTTGTTAATGCTTGATCTTTTTACTGACCCAAGAGGGGGGCAATGCCCCCTCTTGCCCCCCTGCGGCCGTCTATGACGATGACAGCAAAGAGGAGCATGGTTTTTTTTTCTTATTATTCTTTGTTAATTGATTTATTTCAATATTTTTATATGAAATAAAATTGCAAAAAAATCCCAGTGCAAATCTTAATCTTTTTCCTGATTCCAAGAGGGGGGCAATGCCCCCTTTTGCCCCCTCTGCGACCGTTCATGATGATGACCGCAGGGAGAGGCATCATATTTTTTTTTTCTTATTAATCTTTGTTAATGCTTGATCTTTTTACTGACCGAAGAGGGGGGCACTGCCCCCTCTTGCCCCCCTGCGGCCGTCTATTACGATGACAGCAAAGAGGAGCATGGTTTTTTTTCTTATTATTCTTTGTTAATTTTTTTATTTCAATATTTTTATATGAAATAAAATTGCAAAAAAATCCCAGTGCAAACCGTAATCTTTTTCCTGATTCCAAGAGGGGGGCAATGCCCCCTTTTGCCCCCTCTGCGACCGTTCATGATGATGACCGCAGGGAGAGGCATCATATTTTTTTTTTCTTATTAATCTTTGTTAATGCTTGATCTTTTTACTGACCCAAGAGGGGGGCAATGCCCCCTCTTGCCCCCCTGCGGCCGTCTATGACGACGACAGCAAAGAGGAGCATGGTTTTTTTTTCTTATTATTCTTTGTTAATTTTTTTATTTCAATATTTTTATGTGAAATAAAATTGCAAAAAAATCCTAGTACAAATCTTAATCTCCTGACTCCTAGAAGGGGGCAATGCCCCCTCGTGCGCCCCTGCGGCCGTCTATGACAATGACCGCAAGGAGAAGCATGGTTTTTTTTCTTATTATTCTTTGTTCATTTTTTTATTTCAATATTTTTATATGAAATAAAATTGCAAAAAAATCCCAGTGCAAATCTTAATCTATTTTCTGATTCCAAAAGGGGGGCAATGCCCTCATCTCTTGTCGTCGCCCTCCCTGCGGCCGCCCATGACGATGACCACATTTCCCGATGATTCCGGTTCGCGTGCCAGAAAATCAATCGCTCGTTCGCGAGACACGTAATAATGCGGAATCCGCGACACGTAACCCCACGCGGGTCCGCTATTGATCGCCGCGCTTGGAAACCCCATCGTCTCCGTATCCCAACACCGGAGTTTCGCCGAGTTTCGATCGAGCACCGTATTATACCGTAAACACACGTTAAAGCTAAACAGACGGCTGTCACGAAAGCGGACAATGTAAACGTCTCTCCACGACAGGTCTCTCCTTCTCTCCCTCTGCAAAATTGCTCTTGGATACTCTTGGTTGACAAGTGTTTTTCTTCCCGGAGAGCAGCTAGGTAGTTACATCCCTCTAGAAGAATGGGGGCTAGGACGACGACGACGATGACGGGAGAGTCTAGACGCAACTCTCCGGCAGTCTGTTGGCCATCAGTCTTCGCTTGATCGCCTCCCCATCGAGGCACTCGCCCGCCACGATGACACCCTGACCTCCGCCGACGACGACACCCTGGGCGCCGCCGATGACGACGCCCTGGCCGGCGCCCACCATCACCCCCGTCACCGGCATCCCCGGCAGATTCGGTATCGTGCTTCTGGACGGTAGCCTCAGCTCCGTCGGCCGCCCCGTGAACTTGTGACAGAGCTCGTCTATGCTTGGCGTAGGTCCAGGCGTGACCCAGTGCCCCGGGGGATAACCGCCCGGGTAACTCGGCGGGCTGACCTCCACGAGATTACCCTCTGAAACACCGAAGCGGGGGTCTCCGTCGAATAAAGAGAGTAAAGAGAGGCTCCCTTTCCTAAGTTTCTTTGCTTCAACGCGATTGAATTTGTGTTCAATTTAACAGATATGTCGACGGACATTTTTCTGTTCATTTAACATTAATGTTAATATTTTAACACTAAAAAAGAGCAATGTTTTCAAGTAATTTAGAAATCAATTTTGTGTAAAATTAATATAATTTTAATGTAAAAATCAAAAATGTTAATTTTACATTTTATCATCCCCCTTATAGAATAAAATAAATTTTTTTCTGTAAATTTTAATAATTTTGTCACTAATAATACGGACCATATTTGTTATGTAAAACTGGATGCACATTTTGTTATTTTTACACTTTCTTTCAATTGTTTTAATAATTTAACATTTGGGTTTAATTAACACACAACAGCAAGATGTTAAATTAACAGATAAATGTGTTAAATATTTAACACTTAATTTTAATGGGAACTATTTTTAACAAGAAAACAAATTTTTTTACGGTGAAATATTGCGAGACAAGAATGGGACAAAGTTGGTGTTTTTTCTATGATAGGCGTGTTTGAAGAAGGAAGTGTGATTAATTCCTTCACTGATGCTTTTCTAAAGCTCGCTTTGTAAGACAATAATGTACGGGTGACAAATAACAGAATAAAAAACTTTGACAGGTTGTTCAGGAAATTACACTGTAAAAATGTTATATAAATATAGGTCCTATTTCAAGCTTACAATCAAACTCGAGGGAGATATTTTCAGCACTTGTTATAAATCTATCGCTAGATTGTTATTTTCTAATAATAATTATAAAATTTATAAATGAAATGTTTTTAAGTGTAAGTTTGTAAGTATTAAATATGCTACTTTAATGTAACATTTTTAACTTAAATGACCTGCCGAACTAGCTGTCAATTTCTTTTAACTCGGTGCAGATAATCCAGAATTCTATTTATAATTTTGTATGTCGTGTGACAGATAATATTTGATGAAGTAAAATATATAGAAACATTAGAACACACAACACAAAAATAGAATTCTGTAATTTTTTGTCACGAATCATAAGTGGTTTAATAAAGCAATTTTAGGAATAAAACATAAATACGCAAATGAAATACGTAGTTTAATAATTAATTAATTATTAAAAGTTGCTCTAATCAAATTGTTAGTTAATTACCCCGATTGAATAAACTATTAAATTAATTCTCTTAATTGTAACTAGATATTGAATCTATTATTTATTTTATCGCGTTAAAAAAACTTTGATTTCTTCTAGTTCTATAATTAATTGAAACAGAACCTATGTTAACACAACATTTTTAACTTAAAATGGCCTCCCGAATTAGCTGTCAAATTTTTTTGCACTCGATGTAGATCACTTATATTTTCGCGACAGAATTCTATTTATAATTTTGTATATCGTATGAGATATAAAATATCGTATAATTAAAATATCACATAAATAGGATTTTTGCCTTTTTGTAATAGATATAGTCATATAATCATAGATGGTTTAATATAAAACAAGTTTTAAGAATAAAATAACAAATACGTGAAAAACATTCGTATATAATTTGATAATTAATTACTTATAAAAAAATAATATTACAATTAAATAAAATAATATTAATATTAAAAATAATGGATCCAAGAGAGTTAAATATTTGCAATCTAATTTATAAAAAAAAATTTGACAAATGCGTCATATTATTCCTGTCGAAACAATAATTACTGTAGTCAAGTTTTCAATTACCCCAAACAAATTATGTAAATTTTCTCTTTCTCCGCATGAAAGCCCTAAATAGGGTAATCGTGACTTACAAACGAGCGGAGGCTTGTAATCGGATTCGCGCGCGGATTATTTCAGTATCCGCGGCGGCATCGATGGGAGTCTTACCGAACTTGTTTGGGATCACGTCGGGATCAGTCTCCACAGTCTGCTGGGAGTTCTGCATGGGATATTGTTGGGACGGCAGCTCGCTGAGTTCCGCTGGTTTCTCGTGCCGCGGCTTCGCCACGCGTTCCCGACGTACTCTGACCACCACGACCAGGATGATGAGAACCAAAGTCACCAGAGCGCCGACCACAACGCCTATCAGTGGCGATAACACGATTCCGGCGTCCTGACCTGTAACGATCGAATAAAGCCGATGTTCACTCTTCTGTTCTCGGTTTTAGCTCAATCTGATTGCACGATTAAGGGGATGCTGATCATGACTGTTTTACCGACTTTGAGTTCAAGGGCTTTTCTTTTTATTGGCTATACAGATTGAAAAATCTTTCTCCACAATTAAAGTACTGATAATAATGAACGGGGAGCGCTGTAATTTTGTATAAAAAACAATAAGAGTTAAGAAAATTATAGTTTTCTATCGGCCTCTTGCATCAGCTCATAACAATACTTATTTAATACAAAAGTTCTGCAGTTTATTTGTGCACAAAATATGGCACTCCTAATAGAGATGACATGAAAAAATAATAAAAATGAGATTAAAAGCCTGTATCAAAAGATTCTTCAATCTTTATATTCAATAAAAAGTGAACCTAACCTAACTTAAAGTCGATAAAATAGAACAACGGCAGCATTCCCTTAAGAATAAGAATTTAGAAATGTTATAATATACATATAATAATATATAATAAATTATAATAATAATTTTAAAAAATTAATAAGTATCCTTTTTACTAATAGATGTCTACTAAAACATAAATTGTAAATAGATGTCTACTAAGACTTTAAATTATTAGAAATTTATTAGAAATTCATTTAGCCTGTTATATTGGAAATGATACATTTTCGTTGAAATCGTCCGATCAGGCAGATAAATAAAATAAAAAGAAGATCTGTCTATCAATTTGAGATTTAATATGTAAAAATGGTATTATCTTTTTTGCAAAAAAAATTTTAATCAGAAATCATGAATTCATCAGAGTTCATCCCTTATAATATAAATTTTTTTATTTCGATATCTGACTTTTTAATCATGTTAGGAAAGATTTAAATACAGAGTTTTGCTGAGATAGCAAATATTCCGCCTATGATGATGAAGTCATATAATTATATTCATAATTTGTAGTTTAGGATTATTGTAATTTATCGTGATAGATTCCATTAAATGTAATAGAGTGTCTCATTTTAATTGCTCACCTTGAATTTTTCGAAAAAATGCATTTTCGAAAAATATTCCAGACAAAAGTTATATGATCTAAGGAGGAACAAATTATGGTAAAATCAATTTTGGAAAAAATAATTTTTCTCAAAATTTTTATAAATATTAAACTTCAATTATTTTGGAAATCTGACGTGCTAATGAAATTTAGTTTGCAGCATCCAAAAGTATGAAACACTTTGTCTGGCTTAAAATAATTTTTGTAAACTAGTGTACGCTCGCTAATTTGTTTTTTTTTTCTACCTTCTGTCTTCGCAAATTGACATTTCTCCGAAAATATCTGCTTAAAAATATTAAATTAAATCAACACACACAAGGAGAATTTTAGAGGACAGTGTCGCGCTAAAAGAATTGCACAATAGAACAGGTATAATAAATTAATTCGGTAGAGGTGCGGCAAGAAACACACACAAAATTAATGTGGATATTTCTCCGCGACGAAGGATTAACCACACCGTGTCACGGTAAAGAGAAAACGAAACGTTGCATCCGCCCTCGCTATGCTACTTACGAAGCGTTTCATTTTTTTCCCTTCCTTTTTTTTGCCTCCCTCCTTCTCCATATACCAGGCAGCTTTGTTACATGCGTAAACAAACCCCGGTCGGCGCCGTAGAGAAAACATTTTATATTCCTCAACGTTGGGATTACATCTGGCATGCCAGTATTTTTTGCGCCGCTGTCACGTACACACACGGTTTTATCCGCATTTTGTATTTTCGAATCGCCCGTGGAATCTCAAGTAGAAATGGCAATCGCGAACGAAAAAAAGTATAAAGGTCGCGAAATATGATTAAGTAAGTAAGAAACGCGTTGCGGCTGGACGCGAGAGTAATAACATAAAAATTCGTTTATGTCGCAACTAAGACGAATACAATTATTTTATATTTTAACGCAAAAAGACGCCAAGATATGATTTTTAAATCCATTTTATATTATATTATGTGTAAAATAAATTTACAGCAATATATTTTGTTTAAAAAATCTGAATTTGTAATAAAAAAATCTTATTTAGCTTAAGAGTAAAAAAGTATGATATGTATACATAATTTTTAATTTAAATAATGTATCTAAAGATAGTAATACAAAAAATAGAAAAAACCATCTTTTATATGTACAGTGACTTTTTGCTTTTCTCGATATTGATATTCGAAATATCAAAAAAATATACAAAATAATTTCATGTTGAAAATACTTTTACTTAATCATATCTTAATGAAATTGAAAAAAAAAAATTTTTTACTCGGATAGTTATTATCTTTTTCTTTTTTTTACTGACAGTTTTTTCCGCTCTTCAAATTTAAAATCGAGAGCAAGCAATAGAGAATGTAATATAATTGTGAGAGTAACTCGCGAAGCCGATAATTCTGATTTCAATGATACTTTATATAAATTTAGGAAAGATAAATAGAGAAATTTTTAATTGCGACCCATCATATTATATGTATTTTTTCAAAATTTCAAAAAAAAAAAATTTCTCCAAATATTATTAAAAAAAATATTATTAATGTAATTAAATTGAAGTGTTTTTACTATGAAATTTTTTAATGTCATAAAAATATTTTTATGATAAGAACGCCTCTATTAATAATAATTTGATTAAAAAAAACATTTTTAAAATTATTTTCTTAAAACATTAATGTAATTAAATAGAGGTATTCTTATCACAAAATTTTTGTATGAAATATTTCTTGACATACTTTTGAGATATATAAAAAAACTATTTTATGAGGGATGGTTTCACTCGAAGTGGTTTCACCCTTTAGAATCTAAATGAGAGGTGTTTTTACTATAATTTTGATAAAAACATTTTGATCTCAAATATTTCGATTAAAAATGCCTCTAACATTAAAAATCATGTAATTAAATAGAGGTATTCTTATCACAAATTTTTGTATAAATATTTCTTGACATCTCGAATACTTTTCGAGATATATAAAAAAATTCTTATGAGGGGTGGTTTCACCCTTTAGAATCATTATTAATTTTTAAATAATATTATTAAAAAAACTGTCTTATGAGGGTTTCACCCTTTAGAATCATTTTTGGGGCACATCTAAAAATCTATTTATCCTTTCTACATGCGTGTAAAAAACTGAGAATTTTAGGTTGACGACATTTTTCTTCGGAACTTTGCATAAAGAGACTAAAAAGAAGAAATTTGTGCTGTATTTAGACGCGAGGTGCTATTTTCTTAGAGAAGGAGGAGCGAGAGAACGGTGGGAAATCTTGCAGCTATTTCTATTTGTTCTCCTCTCTCTTAGCACCTCGGTCTCGCGATATACCACCGTATTCGTGATAGCGTCTCGCCGCTTTGATAGCGTGTGGCCGGCGAAGCGTGGGATCGCGCCTGCTGTTTTTGTCGGATAATTAACAAAACTGCGCTCCTCCTCTTGCGCCTCGTGGTGAGTTGCAACGCGATCAGGCGGGCTGCGAAAAGCGAGTCTTTAATTCTTAAATTTTCTCTCGTTCCAAACGGGGTCGATTAAGCGTCGGCCCGGCAGAATTTGTGCTCGCAACCCTCACTTAGGTATATCGCGTAAAACTTGGATAGGCTGTTTTTCTACTGGAATATTGTTAGAAAATATTTGCTCCGTTTTTAAAAATATCTCATCGGCCTTCATTCGGCTAATGTTTTAATAATATAATTATTGCGTGTAATTTTTTTATTCGAAAATATATTCGCATGATTTGAAAACCGTCGACCGAACCACTTATTCGATTATTGCTTTAATCATGTAATTATATTGCGCATTTTTTATATTGGAAAATATTTGCTCGATTAAAAAGAATCCTCCATTATCAGATATTCGGGTAATGTTTTAATAATGTAATTATCGCGTGTATTATTCTCATACAATCAGTGGAAAGTATATTTACTCTATTTAAAAATAGTTGATTGCCAGACACTCATTCAGTTATTAATTTTTAATAATGTAATTATCACGTGCATTATTTTTTACTAGAAAATATTTGCTCGATTTAAAAAAAGACAATATTACTCTATTTTTATTATAATATCGTGACTCTCGCATTTTTTTTCATCATAAAATATTTGTTTGCTTTAAAAAAAAAAAGGATCATATTAGATACGTACTCTGGTATTATTTGAATAAATTATCGCATGCATTTTCTAATTATAAAATATTTACTTGATCAAAAAACATCGTCGACCATCAAACATTTATTCTATTAATGTTTGAATAATGTAATTATAATACATGCATTACTTTTTACTAGAAAATATTTGCTCGATTTAAAAAAATACACTTATTCAATTATTGTTAAAATAGCGTGGTTATCGCATTTTTTTAATTATAAAATATTTGTTCGATTTAAAAAAAGGACCATCAGATACTTCTTCGAGTATTAATTTAATAATAAAATTATCGCATGCATTTTTTAATTAGAAAGTATTTACTTGACTAAAAAATGTCGTCGAGACCATCAGACATTTATTCTATCAACGTTTGAATAATGTAATTATCGCGTGCACCTTTTTCACGCGATAATCACATTATTAAAACGAACAACCGAATAAGTCTCTGATCGACGATTTTTAAATAAAACGATATTTTCTAATGCCAGTAAAAAAAATATCCGTATCGAAATATTTGCATTGCGAATTTTTATCGGAGCAAAAGAAAGATAGCAAAATATATTAATATAATAATATAATATAAAATAATAATAAATAATATAAAAATAATATAAAAATATAAAATAAAAATATAAGAAATAAAATAAAATATAAAAATAATATGACAATATAAAATAATAATATAAAAAATAAAATAAAATATAAAAATAATATAAAAATATAAATATATAAAAATATAACAAATAAAATAAAATATAAAAATAATATATAAATATATAAAATTAAAATATAAGAAATGAAATAAAATATAAAAATGATTTAAAATATAAAATTGTAACTCGAGAAAAGAAAAGGAACGAC